TCAAGACTGAAATAATTGTGAAATGTGTAAGTGTTTGCATGATACCCTGCAAAGGGTACGAGTGTTAGGCAGAGATCGATTAAGACGTTTTAAACTGAACTTTAATCATGATTGTCTTTTGTTTACTTCATTAATATTCCATATATAAATAAATAAACTACTCTTACTATTGTGACAACATCTCTGATCCATGGATCTGCACAAACTTCAATGAACTATCATACGTTTGGCTCACACCCCACAATGATGATCGATATATGATTTTTAATAATTATTTGTCGTTTGATAGGTATACAATCTTCGGGTGATCTTGAAATATTTATTGGCTGCAATCGCAATCCGATTTCTTCAGTGCTAGCACTTTCTTTGTGCTGTCATAATTTTCAAGCTGATTACAACGCATCACATTGGTTGGAAAACAAATCTTTCTGGCCTCTACGAATGCATGGCTCTTTATCGGACCGCGCCATCTACAATTGGGAACAGAGCCGATTAGGAATTGGGGACTGGGCTTATCAATAGGGGTGACCAACCATTCAGCAAACAAGGCAGCAGAAATCTAGATTGGAGATTCATTCGCTCCGATCCCCAATCCCAAATCGTAGAACGGACTGGGACGGGTTAGAGTTTAATTGATAATGCTACTCACAGTTATGCGACTGCGCTCGGACCTGAGTGCACTTCCATTTCGGGGGAACGGGAGCGGCATGGAGCGGTATCGTTAAAAGATAACCCCAGAATATTGGGGCCTTGTAGCCGCATTACAAGTACAGCTACTACATGGAGTTCTAAGTTCAGACCTTTTAAAACAAGTCGTAAATAATGCACTGTGAGAAATTAATGTTTATATGCGGCGATCCCAGGAAGATCAGTGGCCGGACCGAGAGGCGCTGGCTCATAATGCGCGGCATGGTATATACCAGAGGCGATTGCTTACATGCAGGCAAGATAGAGATTCGCTTAATTATCGAGTTATATTACACATAAAACTAAACCCAAATGATATTGATCTTCATCAGCAAATAATGCATCCTAAATGAAACTCGAGTTGGATTTCTTTCCGTGCCACAATTAACGTTTTTTTAGGAAAAGTACGAGTATCATTTAATTCCGACATTTATGTTTATTTTTCACGTTGTTCCATATACTTACATATGTATGTAGCTGTATTCTCGTTTGAAAATTATTTTCCAACCGCCAGACTCAGTCGTTATCAAGTCGTCACTCGAAGCGGTTCGATTAAAAACCAAGAAAATCTTAAAACACTCGAGCCATTCCTGCATTCGTGAGGATCGATCTCTCAAGCAAAGAATTATAAAAAGAGATCTGCAAACATATAAGAAATCACAGCCTCAGAGCCCTGCATTATCGCCGCTTGATGATAACCTCCACCTCTGGAGGGTGGACTTGGACTCGGCTCAGACAACAGACAGTAGTAGGAAGTTGAACCCATCATCCATCAGTCATCATCTAGAATCACAGAGACCATCATCGGCTGATTCATCTTCCTGATCATCGCTGGATCGGTAGGTGCAAAGACCCCGAGTGACCGTTTATTGCGTTCGAAACATATTATGAAAGAAAAATCATATGGTTAAGATCAGAAACGAAAATGTACTTTAAATACGTAATTTTTGATTGATAAAATGAGTGTGTAGTGATCGGTCAGTGAAAACTGGAAATACAAGTAAAGATCTACATAAATATGAATCCTTTAACGATGAAAATCATATAAATGGGATATTATCTAAAAAGGAAATTAATTTTTTATTTGTTTTCCAAAAATGATGCTTTGAAACACATTCCAAACAAATACAAAGTAAATAAAGAATGGTAGGTTATTTCTTCAGAAAGTTCAGAAAAGTTATAATAAGGATTAAAACTCATAAACTTTTCGAAAGCTAAAAAAAAGCATAGATTGGGTACTAAAAGTCTATTCGAAATCCTTAAAAGGTTGAGAAAGAAAGGTTATTGGTTCTCTGATATTTAAGATCGGATATTTGGTTGTTATTAGAACAAGTCTTTTATAAATCCATACATCTATCAATCAATAAGCAAATTAAAGGCAAATTAAAAGTTTAATAGCCTAATGATCAAGCCAATATGAATATGGATGATTCTCGGGGCCTAGGCTACACGAAAAAAAATAAATTGCACTGGTCCACGTATCGTAGGTACACAGAGCCATTTGTATGCATATTTAGAGGGTGGTAGAAGGTAGTCTGGTTTCGATATAAACGATTGAACACCGAGAATTCCAGAAAGAGGAAACTAGTTATGCGTAGCATTTGTGTTGGATGTAACTAAAAAAAATCTAGAACTAACCATTTCAGACTGATATACGATCCGTTACACGTTACGACGCGACATCATGATTGGAAAACAGCGCATTCTGAGGACGGGTGTGGCGGGTCTGCTGTTGTTTACCTGCAGTCTATGCGCAACTCTCTATCTAGAGCGTATAGAGCAATGGGTCTTGGAGGGGTTCATGGTATTGAGACCAAACTCCCTGATCACAGATCTGTGGGAGTCCCCTTCGATGGACACGGCCGTGGATCTTTACATGTTCAATTGGACCAATTCGGAGCACCTCAATGATCCAACAGTGAAGCCTCGATTCGAGGAGTTCGGACCCTACAGGTTCAAGGAAAAGATGCAAAAGCTGAATGTGGTCTGGCACGATGAGAACTCCACGGTCTCGTACATGCGTCGCAGTCGCTTCGATTTCGATGAGGCGGGCAGTGCGGGACGGCCCACGGATCCCATCGTGGCCCCCAATCTGCTGATTGTTGGCATTTACCAGAAGATGTGGAGCTGGAGCCCCATGCTGCGGACCCTCATGCTGATGACCCTGAATCTGTACGGCAAGGAAACCACCATGGTTCGTCCTGCCGGTGACTGGATGTTCGATGGCTTTGACACGCCTCTCCTCAAGATGAGCAAAATGGTTCCCACTAACTTGATGCCCGAACTTAATTTTCCCTACGAGAAAATTGGATATGCTTATCCTGTAAGATCGCATTTCTGATCTACATATGTTTATATCTTATTCCCGATTCCCCTGCAGCGCAATGGCAGCATGGAGATCTATGGCCATCACAATGTCTACACGGGACGCCAGGACTTTAGTAAGTTGGGACAGATCGCCCGTTGGCGGTATAACAATGTCACTGCCTCTAGTCCCAGATGCCGACTAAAGGGAAGTGCTGGGGAGTTCCATCCGATTCCTTTGGAAAAGGGCAGAAATATCTCCTACTTCCTTCCCGACATTTGTCGCGAACTGGAGGTGGACTACCACTCTACCACCGTTTTCGAGGGCGTAGAGGGATATGTTTACAAGGGCAGTGCCCGGAATATGGCAAATGGTAAAAATCTGTTCCGATAGTGATTGATATGTATATGAATGATTCCTGTTTCCTGTTTCCAGGCACTGATAATCCACAAAATAGTTGCTACTGCCAGGAGAACTGCCAGGAGGTACGATCGGGTTTGTTGAACATCTCCTCCTGCTGGTACGGAGCGCCCGTTTTTGCCTCCTATCCACATTTCCACCAGGCCGATCCGTATTATGTGGAGCAGGTGGATGGAATGAAACCAGATAAGGATCGTCATGAATTGGTGGTCATTCTGGAGCCGAAGACGGGCATGATTCTGGAGATCAAGGCACGCATAATGGCCAGCCTCCTTGTAGAGCCACGACCATCAGGGTAAGTAAAAAGCACGGAATTCCATTGATCCTTTGGGAAAATAAAAATGGTGATATTTTCAGAATCTATCGCAAGTCGCGTCGGACATTCTTTCCCCTAATCTGGGCCGACTACCATGTGCGCATCACTCCCGATCTTTTGACCTACGTCAAGCTAATACCGATCATGGAGAGCCTGGGAAAGGTATGCGGCTGCCTGGGCATTGCCCTGGGTCTGGTAATGCTGTTGTGGTATCCGAGACAGATGCTCTGGAAGAAGCTTCTCATGCAGAAGATCGAAATCAATGCACTGGACACTCGCACCCCTGAACAGATAAAGGGAGTGGAAGAGTCCCCGCTGTTGATCGGTGTCCAATATGTGCCCGCCATCAAGGAGGGGGCGAGTCCAAGCTGAATAGAGGTCCTATCTGTTAACACTAGGTGTACGAGTATGACATGTGATAGGGATAAGGGCTTAGCGTCTGTCTTGCCTAGTCTACAGTCTAAGTTAATAAATGTTAAAGGGTCTTCAATTACTCGATGCTTTAAAAGTGTCGTTTTGATGGATTGGTCACTGCGCTGGATGGATGAATGGAGCTGTGGATTGCCAAAGTATTTGTAGCAGTAAGAAAGACGCCCCTACGTACAATATCATTCCTTGTCATACTGAATCATACAGTCATACAATAAAACAACAGTAAAAGCAACCACTTGCCACCCTCATGACCGATTAAAAGTATGGAAATATCGAACATTTCTAGTTTCAATTACGATCTGGACACAGAACCGTTTCATAGCCGTTTTGGTACCACAAAACAGAGAGTCAATGCATACTTTTGTTCAAACTCTTATCAATAAAACTAATGTACTCATACGAACATGCAGAGCATAAGTATATACATACATTTACTCACACGCTCTCTCTCTCCTGCGCCATTCGAGTCAGAAACTGAGAGCACGTGAGAGTGAGAGAGAGCATGATCATGATCATTATGATCATTTTCGACGCTATGTGAACACCCTACAATGCGCAGCACATTTGTTCCTTACCCCATCTCTTATAAAATACAAGAGTTTCAACAAAATTAAAACTAAATAACCGAGTGTCTTTACTATTGTAAATTGAAATTAACATATAAAAAGAGATTTAATCTAAAAAAGGGCATACAAAAGTCAGACCAGCCGACTCGCCATAGGTTTTTAATGAAGAATAAATAATTGCTGGTTGCTGAGTTGCTTGGCGACTTTTAAAAAATACTTAATTTAGTCGCAGAGCAGGCGCAGCGCCGCACAGACCAAAAATCCACCCGAAGTGAACGGATCGAGACGTGTTAGTTCAAGATCAGAGCGTTGACTTAACGGTGCGTCGCTGATTAAATACATATGTACACATGTTGGTGCAAGTGCAAGTGAGATGGCAACTAGACAGGACAGAGAGAAATAAGAAAAAGAAAATAAATCCCAAAGAGCGCGAGCAATGAAGCGTTTTTAGACACTTGCGTCGCCGCCGTCTATGTCTATGTTTCGCTGCATATTTACACAACAACTGCAATTAGAAATTTATATCAATTCAAAAGTATTAAAACGAAAGAAAAATCTGTCATCCAAGTGAAGCAAAACAAAACAAGTGATTGGAATAAATTTGCACCTAAAGTGGAATTGGAAAAAAGGCAGCGCGTAGTAAAGAAAGCCAAGTGTTAGAGGAGCAACGAATATCTACAACAAGAAAATGTAAGATAAATATGAAAAATGCCCAACGCATTTGGTGAGAGAGTGAGAGTGAGAAAGAGAGGGAGAGAGACGCAGACGCAAGAGAGTTAAACGTGCCGCGTTGCTCGTTGCTCTGCTTCCTTTTAAGATAAAATTGTTAAATAAACATAATTGTGTAGAGTTTTTTGTGAAGTTTTTGCTTTCTGTGAAGCATTCCAATATACTGATTCACCGCGCGACAACGAGTGAGTTAACAGAATATGTAAACTACCCAAGCAAGAAGCAGAGCCAGCCTCAGTTCGGGACATTCTTTGTTGTTTTTCTCTGTTTTTGCGGTTCTTTTTGGCACATTGCACTGCGGCCTGTGTCTATTTTTAGGCCACAAGAGCAAAGAGTACAATAAATAGGAATATATTGTCAACAGGTTGCGGAAGTGACGGGTAGAGTTCAAGGATATTGCTAATGTTCTCAAATAATTGTGAATAAAAACTCGATGAGTATAACAATTGCTTAGACCACGACACGCCAGTGCTAATTCGCGTGATTAATGTTTGGCCAAATGAATTGGCACTATGTGAAATCTCCATAATCTCTGTTGCTGGAGTTAAAACAGCGCAAGAGCAGTACATTTGACTGTGAGGCGTGGCGTGTTTGTGTGCATGTGTGCGTGTGTGTTTGGGAGATAAAAATAAACTGGGCGTAGGTGAGGAAAAACCGCGTAAACGTAAACGAGTTTTCATAATGTTAGTTGTTGTTTTCCGACCTCGCTACGTGTGCATTAATAACAAAATAAATCGTATCGTATGTACGTGCCAGGGTGTGATTGGTATTGCATTGAAATTTTTTAAATATTGCCAATAACAGTAATAGTAGCGCTGCAGTCATAGCCAGGGGCGAGGTATATTAACTAGAAGGTCGCGGCGGGAGCGTCAACATAAGCAAGAATGTACATAAATATTTACATGTGTACATATTTATGTATTCACTTGTGTGTTTTTATATAAACAGAAATACAGATGTTTTCTTGTGTTGGCCATTTACATATATAAATCAGCATCCATCCATCCGGATGAAGGAGGATGCAGAGTTTTGCCCATCTGCCTTACCTTATACATAATATACCTCGTGCTCATCGGTTGCCATGGACAACCAGCACTACAAGAAGTGTAAACAGTTCCCCCACCCTCAGAGCGACCCTTGCGCAGTCCGCACGCAACATTCATTTATGGTTGTGACAGGGTATGGAAAAGGTGAACGTGAACGGGTTTTGTGTTTCAAGCCAATACGCGAAAACAATAAGTGCGCGGAATGTGTGTGATTCAGACAATCGTAGTAGCTGGAGTTTTTGCGAACTCGAGAAATCCAGAAAAATTAGAGTCAGAAAACGGGAGTTCAAACGGGAACAGTTTTCAATGCGCTGTGGTGTTTTTTTGTCGGTATCTAGAACAGCTTTTACCAACATAGTGGCATAGTAGCACATAGCAGGGTCATGTGCGGGCATCACAATTCTAACAGACGAATGTTAACGATGAGTGATTATGCTGAGCTAATTGTCTTTGAGTGTATGGTACATAACCATGTACATATATACCTATGTATGTATGTAGATTTAAACGTTAAGAATAGGTGGATAGATAAGCAGTAACTGAAAGCAAAAAATGGTACCAACTGGATTCATCAAACGGTACACGCTACTGTTAATGCAGTGGTATATGTTTTGTCAGTAGAGTATTGTACAGTATTAACTTAACAGAGACATAACAGGGGTCATATTGGATAACATACCAATGTAGTCCAGCGGTCGGCACGCACACATTGCAGTGCGTTTGTGTCCGCAGGCAGCAGGCAAAATGCAACAAAAATTGTTATTGTATTGGGCACCGATCACTGTTACTTTCCTATGGACATGAGTAAGAAAGGGCCTTGCCGACCCCTCTTGTAGTTGTTTAACTTTCCAGTGAATGGTTGGATTGATAACTGCTATTGATTCATCTTTTTTTTTTATTAAAAGCAATCATCAAACAGGATACTGATGAATAATACTTAGAATTTGGCCTACCGCGAGGTCATGCGTCTCGACTCGAGCTTCAGTGTGGGAGCGATAGGAGCAGTTTGCCACAAGTACAAGTACGTGCGCACCCGCTGTTTTAGAACGTTTGTATTTTGGCTGACTTTAAGTAGTTATAGATGGTGCAATAGGTATTAAATTATGGCTAGAATTGCTATATGGGGGGTGTTCCGTGAAAAGCCAACTGACGGAACACTTAAGAGTGAAGCCTTTGAACCGGTTCCCAAACCGTTAAGCAACCCCCCTTAAAACCGCAGTTTATGTTTTCCCTCGTATCACATTTCGACGAATCTATTATGTATGTATGTACGCTATATAGTATGCATATGCATGTATGTACATTGGAGATTTGACTTGACCACAAAAACGTGTACCCCCAGTGCCAAACGAACATTTCATTACAATTAGACATACCACACACAAAATGTATATAATTACGCAGCAGTACTACAAAGTTGTAGACGATCGCGCTACGGCGCGTGATTAACATATACTCTCTTTCTCTTTGGCCCGCTCTCTTTCCCTGTAATCGGGTGGCGAGCCCGCTGCCCCCTATATGGTGCACATGTGTGTGTGCGTGTGTGTGCGTTTGCTGATAAGACCCATAGATATAGATAAGCCCGCCTGTACTAACAAATGTTCTCTTTTCATATATTCGCCCTCTCTCTGTTATTCGCAACAACGGACGCCAAACAGAGGTAGGCAGGTTCCCACTTGGACTCAGTGCCGTGTAAGAGATCGTTCGGAGTGGAGCAGGCTCAACCGAGGAGCTGCAGCAATATAACTGTATAATAAACCATAACCACTACAACTGTCACTACCATATCGGAATTGGAGCTAGAAGAACAATATGACATCACATCTGCGTTACTGTGTCCGTTTGGGCATCATCGTGCTGGGGATCTGTTCCATTGCCGGCGGCATTTATCTATTCCGCCACTGGATCGAGATGTTTACACGCATGCGCGGCAAGGTGAGTGTGCCTCTATATAGAGTCTTATCTTATCACCATCCATTTCTATGCCGATTCCCATTCCCATTCACATCACTTCAGTCCCTTCGAGCGAGTCATGTTTTGCGAACCGGCAAATTGGCAAACTGCTCAAAGGTCAGGACCCCGCCCAACCTTGTAGACCTTCATTTACATACAAATGGGAACGTTTCACCAGAAAGAACTTTGTCTTTTGATTGAAGCCAATTAAGGTCTTTGTCCAAGACCAAAAATGAAAAGACAGTCCGAAAATTGATCACCCGAACCAGGTGTTCAAGAATAAAATCAACTCTGGAGATAAGATACGGCTTACATTCGATCATTTTCGTATCAAAAATGGTTTGGCAAAAGTTCGTTTACGATCCCATTAGGTATAAAATTGTACATGCATACATTGTATGTACATTTATAATATATATTTTATATACCGCTGTAGTATACCCATATTTGTGTATACATATATGTATGTATTTCTGATTAGCGTATGGATGCGACTGTTGAGTCATTAGATGTGAGAGAGAGGCTGCGGCATTGGCCTTCTGTTGGATCGCTTACAGGCTTTGATTATTTTAAAACAACTTGAGAGAAACTTGTCTTTTTAAGAGGCAGGTCTTGAAAATTATCAGTTTTGTATGGAAAGTAATTTTTTTGGTACATTTTGCATAGAATATGCTTCAAGTCCAGACTGAATCGGTATCCAATCAACAGATAATTTGCTTATCTTTTCTCCCTACCTTTTAACAAAATGATCGCTATCTGACAGATAGAATCTTGTTTATATGAGGCCAGTTACATTTGACATTTTCAGAGGATATTAAATGTGGTTTTACGTTTATGTTCTTCATTAAGTACTTCATTAAGCAGTTTGCGACTTTACGAGTATTCCAAGCTATTTTCATTTTACGTTTAAAGCCAAAAAATAAGATACTCCGATCCTGTTAGCTCTACTTTACCTTGAGCATAAACTCGTTAAATAACATTAAGAAAACGGTTTAGAAAGCGCCTTATACTGTAGGTAGATGTATTTTTAGCTGCCCCTTTTTCTTTCTACCCTCCATTTTATTATTACTCATTTTTGGAACAAACACTGACTAATAATAGTCACTGAATGATTGATTGCGGGGCCTAATCGAATAAAAGCGCCCCCATCTGGAATCGGAAATTATGAATCACGGCTACAGCTGCGGCCTGCAAGGTCATTCATCCGAAGTTACCCATTATGTTGACGATCTGTGAAGCCAGAACAGGCAGGCGGAAATGGTCGCCATTTGCCATGAAACTACCTTCGCGGATCTTAACCGAGGAATTGCAATGCGAATGGGAACGGGGGCGGCGGGCTAGTAATATCTTATCTGGGTGAAAAAACCTGAAAAAATACCTCATTCAGCGATAGCCATGGGGCGTTCGATTAGACAACGCTCTTCACCCTCTCATGTATGGCGAAACATTCATAAAAGGCCTTAAACCAGCCAAAGTCCCAGACCTAGCATGTAACCCACATTGTATTGTCGGGGGCACAGCCCTGCAGGTGTGCTGCCCTTAACTGAACACCTGTTTGGCGATGATACGAGTAGTCGTGCCACTCCCAGACACCTGAATAGATAGGTAGATAGCTAAATAGATAGATGGATGGATTTACATTCATATGTAATATCTCTCTCTTTGGATTAGGGAAATAGAAAACACACTCAAGTTTCTTTTTATCAGTTAGTCATTTCCGGCAGGCTCCAATTCCAGCTGTTTCAGCCGTCTAGTAGGTCTAGTCGCATTTCCAATTATAAAGATTATAAAGTTCTGGACATAACAAAAATGGCGACTTTGGTCTGGTCTGCGATCGTGGCGATCGTTATGTCTGGTGTTTACAATGATTGATGGCTGATAAGAAGCTGAAGCACCCATCGACCCGATGAACCACCTGCCTTTTGTATGATCTGAGAAGCTTACAAATTAAACGAGTGAAATGCATTCTTGGAATGACGTCGATAAGTGGCACAAAAGTTCCCCTAAGCGAACGGATGACACGAACAGAGACTACTGGCCACAAGTAATTGTTTATTGTAATGAACAAGTTCCATAGCTATGTAATACAATTTTTGGTTGAAATATTGTACAACTTTGCAAACAATGGTGCTAATGGTTCATCATCAATCATGTCATAGATCCACCCTTTATTTACGAAGGTTCCCCCAAGAGAATGGGTATCAAAGTCAAGACCTCAAGGTTGAGTTATATAAAAACCCACAAAAAGTTATTTCTTCATAACCATATTCATAACCATTTCACCGATCGATCGAACACGCTCTTGACTATTTTTTCCTTATACGTTCCCTCCGATTGTTGTATGAAGTTATTCTAGGAACGATTTCAAGGGGCCCCGATTACTGGGCGTTTAAAATAAATAAGAAAAAAATACTATCAGATCTTGAACTGAAATAATACTTGGAATAAATTCATTGGTACTAACAGTTTTCAGAACTATAAAGGGTTATATGGCAAATAAGCGGCGACTGTACTGAGTTTGAGAGTTTTCTCAAGATGAATACAGCAGATTACGTTCGAATTAATCAGAACTAATCAGCTTTCATTGTCGTTTTGTTAGAATTTGGTTTGTCTCGATTGACTACGAGTTTTCCGGATTACATACGAGTTTTCTCGATTACTTACGATTTATCTCGATTACTTACGACTTATCTCGATTACCTACGAATCATTAGCTCTTCTTGTCGCCTAGTTATTGTTATTGTTAATGGGCGATAAGCTTTCCTGCATTGTTTGAGCTTATAATTCCGATACGGACTGTGTCCGAAACGACGAAACCTTTCAGTGTTTGGCAATGTTCGATGCCAATTATGGGACCCGGGAGGAGACCAATTGCCCAGATCTATGATGAACTTTGATCGATCTTTTTGAATGTCGATTGAATGCGAGAATTGAATGAATTGATTCGTAGAAGTATCTCGTAATTGCAATGCCCGTTTCAACAACCAGCTATCCTCAATTAAAACAAACAAATTATGTAAATCGTGCGTCCTATCATTGAATTGAATTGAATATGTATTTTTATATGAATTACTAATTACTATTTATCCCCTATTGATCTTAAAGGAAATGGCTCTCAGTCCCACCTCACGATCTTTCGAGGGCTGGAAGATCTCACCGCTGCCACTGTACTTCGATGTTTACATTTTCAATTGGACAAATCCGGAGGACTTTTATGTGGGTTCTGGCAAGAAGCCACACTTCCAGCAGTTGGGACCCTATCGGTTTCGGGAGAAGCCCGACAAAGTGAACATTGCCTGGCACAATCAAAACGCTTCCGTGTCGTTCCGCAAGAAGTCTGTCTTCTACTTTGATACCGATGGCAGCAAAGGCAGTCTCACGGATGTTGTCACGCAAGTGAATTCCGTAGCGCATGTAAGTGTGTGGACCACCATTAATCGCTAAACCCTGAAACTAATGGATTGCTTTTCACCCTTTTTTTTGCTACTCCTTCAGTCAGCGGCTAGACGAGCAGCCGACTCATGGCTGGGCAGAGTCAGTGTCAATATGGCCATCAGAATGTATGACCAGCGAATCACCATAACGCGGTCGGCCGATGAGTGGCTCTTCAAGGGCTTCGAGCATCCGTTCATCAGTTTGGGAAAGATTATTCGGCCGGACGATGTGCCATATACCCGTATTGGTTTTCAGTATCCACGAAATGGCAGCTCCGAGTTCGATGGCGATATAAACATGTTCACGGGTGCCGATGATATCTCGAAGATGGGACAGATCTACACGTGGAACAATCTAACGCATACGGGCGCCTTTCCGGGCGTCTGTGGTCAAGTCAGGGGCTCAATGGGGGAGTTCTTTCCCCCCAATTTGAGCACCAACGACAGCGTGTACATGTACATGCCGAAAATGTGTCGTGCCGTGCCCTTGGACTACACGGAAACGGTGACAGTTCATGGGATTACCGCCTACAAATACAGTGGCACCGAGCACGCCGTCGACAATGGCACCCTCTATACGGACACGAGTTGTTATTGCGTCGGCGGCAAGTGCCGGCCCATTGGCGTCATCGATATTGGACCCTGCTCCTTCAATGCCTCGGTGTTTATGTCGTTCCCACATTTCTACAAGGGCGATCCCAGCTATGTGGAAGCGGTGGAGGGCCTGAAGCCGGAGAAGGAAAAGCATGAGTTCTTCATGACGCTGGAGCCGAACGCTGGTGTCCCCATGGATGTGGGCGGCGGCTTTCAGGCCAACTACTACATGGAGCCTGTCAAGGGAATAGAGTATGAGTCACTAAAACTTTTCTGTGGATGATAATCGCAACTAATTCGATTACTTTTTGCAGTATCTACGATAAAGTACCAAGCGTCATGCTTCCCATGATGTGGTGCGAGGAGAGGGTTCGCGTTACGGAGGAGATTGCCGCCGATATAGCGCTGGTGCCGCTCATTGTCCTGCTCGGACAGATTGTGACTGGTATACTGTTGGCGGGCGGTCTCATCTGCACCTGCTGGTACCCCACGCGACAGGTGACACAATTCTGTCACAGTGATCCCAAGGCCAAGGCTAATGCCTTGCGGCCGCTCACCACCTTTGGCGTAAATCCGGCGGCAGCCACATTGCCCGTGTCCCAGTTGTTCCGCCACAACACGAACGCTGGGGGCAACGAACGTGTCGGAGTCCGTCTGCTGGACTATAGGCGAGACTCTGGGCTGCAGGAGCAACAGGACAGCAGCAGCGGCAGCGAGAACTCTCCAAGGGAGCGACTGATCAATGAAACGTCTCCCGATGTGATAGTTAGATAATACATCGATTCAACTCACGCATTCCCGGCGATGCCACCATCAAGCATGATCCAAGACTCATTTTCATCATCGTATCGTAGCTTAGAAGAGTATAAACTGATGATAAAGCCATTTTGCCTTAGCCAAGCCACGCCACCGTACCACAAGTGGCGCCTGGCCCCTTCCTTCATATCGCATCACATCCGTCGCACATACATCCCATCTACGTCCGCATTAGGAGTTCCCTCAACATATCTGTGCTTTCCGCCGGATAGCTCGAGAGAGAGATTAATAAGATTATTTATTTTAGTGCCAAAAAGAAAAGAGAAGCAGAGAACCCAAACAAAAGTCATTAACTATTTTATTAGCTTAAACTAAACTAAACTAAATTGTAAATAAAGGGAGTTGTTAAGTGTTCCCGCACCCGCCCCATGATCATCACCTATGCCCCGTTTTGTTGAAGTTGTAACACTGCGCACGCCCAAAGTATTTATATTTATATGATAATATCATTAATTATTTTTCGTATTTTTAAAGCGATATTCTAGTTTTTATGCAACTTGAGATGAAGTGATATCAATTATGATTGATCATTGATGATCAATCAATTGAACAGAAATACGAGCTCGGCAACTATTATGCTGCACTGCGATCCCAAGACATTTCAATCAATGTGATTGATCCCTGTAGATAGGAAGTCTTTTTTATATCTTGTACACTACACATGCACATAAATATAAACATACATATCCTATCCTAATAGTTCAAAGATTTCGGATATCCCCCATATGTACATATGTAAATCAGTGTAAAGTCGGACATAAGTTAGTTAGCCTATTGCTCAGCTGTGAACCCAGGAAATATTTCCAAAAATTCCTTAAGATACATTTTGAATTTAAAGAAAAGAATAAAACCAAAAAAAAATACGCCTATAGTTGATTGATTCTTCGACAACCGGTGCCTTGCCGTTTGAGACGGCTTGAGCCCGAGTATCCAATAACAAAATACACGCCGTGTGTAGACACAGCTGTGCGATCGCTTGTTGGATTTATTGAATATATCCTCAATGTCATAATCGCTGTTCACATAAGGATATATTAATAATAGTATTCCTCCTCAGCTTCATTTTATTATTAATACCTTGTGACAAATCTAAAAATCTTATTTTAATCTACACTGTAACTACTGCTTTAACCAACTGGAAAATGCATAAAAGCAGAGGCTGATGAAGCTGAAGCTAACCAGAGAATTGAAGGTGCCCGCACCGTTGCCAGCATTGCCCAGATCCAGTTTGGCGGCCAGCTCCTCGGGCACATCCAAGTAGACACGCTCCACACCAAAGCCGAATATAAGCTTACGCAGCTTTTCTACATCCACGTAGTCACCGTCGGAGGACCAGATGGTCAGTGTGCTCTCGTTGGTCTCGTTGACAGCGGCCACCAGTTTGTGGAGCTGCTCTTCGCTATTGGCCGCTATGCCCGCACGGACCGGAAAGGTAATGCCCTGGCCCGTGGACAGCACATTGTTGAAGGCGAGCGTCTCGACCATTGCGTCGCACTGATCTTTAGTGTATTCGCCCTCGCGGAATTCGGCTCCCCAGTTGGTGGTCCATCCAATGGAGAGGACTGCCTGCTTGTACCGCATGCAACCGGCAAAGAACCGATTCGGATCTACGGGCACGGTCTTGTTCTGGTCCACGGGGCCACTGATAATGTCAGCATTGATCCAAATGGGATAGGACATCTGCAGAAGAGATCATTTGATTGCTAATAATTGCCAGATGAAATGATTCCCTTAGCTTACACTTGGTATGGTCGCGTCGAGGATGTCCAAGGAGCCCTCGAACACATCTATGGACTTGAAATCCAGCTTGACTCCCTTCTCGTTGCCCTCGTGAAGGTCGTTAAAGTCTTTGATCTGATTCAGGAATGCCTGTAACGTCAAGTCGGAGACATTTGCCGGCGGATGAGCCATCACGGGCATATCGTCGCCGTCGCCGCCGGAAAGCTTTCCCAGCACAATGTCCGCCTCAATGAACTCAATGTCACCTTTGAAGAGTTGCTAACGTCACGATAAAAGTACACACTTCACAAACAATGTGGGCTCTCACCAGCCAAGGCCTCGTCGAGCAACTGCTGACTGTTGACCGCATGAGCCCATCGGATGGCGGTCAGATTGGCCGCCCTGATTATGGTCTTGCCCATGTCCTGATCCTGCAGCACCACTATACCAAGAGGCAGATCGGCAACTTGTGTTCCCTCCAGTCCCTCCACACGATAGTACTGATAATGGCTGGCATTCAGAGCCGCGCCATTGATTTTGGACACGAGCGCTTCAGGTGTTCCATGGAGGCAAAACAACGAAAAGCGAATGGAATTAAATATTCAATAATTGAAGAACAATGGAAAATGGGGGGAAGCGCAAAGAGTGCATAGATAAGCATGCGATTCGTTTCCTCCTTACCTTCTTTTTGTTCAATTCAATAATCGCACACACGCAGACTGACACAAATGGGATGTGTGTATTTGTGGGAAAATGATATTTAATTGTTTAATGGATTGGATGGTATCTGGAACTGAACACTGCTGTACCCTACCCACAGAGATACAGAACAAACAAAGCGCAGACGCCAGAAAGAAAATCGCATTACCAAGCAGCAGGCATAATACCGACAATGAACTCTGGTCTAGAGCGGCGGCAATGGACTTGAATAACATTTTAGCTTTTAATCACCGGCCGAGGAATATGCAGAATAGCACTACCCTTGGAAATCAATGAAGAACTAACTAACAAGACGATAAAGGTAACTAAATTTAGTTTTCAGCTTATCTGGGGATCATTTGATTGGAATTGATTGCGTGCTTGAGTGCTATAATCTAATCCACCTAGGTTCGTTAAAGGTGAAAACCGTTAATTGTATATATATTCAGGGGGAAATGTTTTTATATTCATAATATATAATATAATATTTAATATTTAAAAATCGCCACTTTTAAATGTCTTGGCAACTCTCCTTTATGGTATTTATGGCATTTTGCTCTTGATATTTCCTTCGATGCGTTAGGTATTCATGCATTGACTTGAAGGTATATTTACGGCTTATCGGTATATGATGGTATATTTAATCTATCGTTAGTGCAAAAAATCCTTGGCAGAGTGACCATTTACGGTATATTTTATACTTTTGGGTATATTTTGTAATCGTTTTTCGTACCTTATAATAGAGTTGTTCGACAGATTATACATTTTTGGGTATATAATGGTATATATGATCAATATTTGGGTGTATTACGTTATATTCAATATCGGACTTAAATATATTTGAATTTTATCATAAGAAACAGTACCAAATGGCAAGGAAAATGTACTGACGAAAAGGAATGCAGTGAAAAGTGTAAACGATAACAGTTGTTATATTATTCAGACTATATTATATACAGGAAAACAATAATATATTATATTAAGACTTATCTCAAATAAAGAAAAATACTGTTTTGCTAAATTTTGTAGCGGTATATTTTGACGGTATATTTTAAAAATGTGTCGATATATTTTGGTGTATTTCTGAGGTATCTTTTCGATAGCTATTCTTCATAATAGCATCGTGTTGTTGTTTTGCTGGGGTAAATTTTTTTTCTTACATTTTTTTTAAGTGATATTTAAAAATGACTTAATCTTAAGAATATATAAACATAAACCTTTTTTTTTTTTTTTTTGGCACGTGAATATTAGTTGTAAGCATACGGCAGCAGCCAAGTGAAACACCAAGCAACGGCTTCTGCAGAAAATCGAATAGAAAATTTGTGAAAAAGAAAATTCTCGAGAGCATGTGTGGCTGGAGGCAACATCAACAAATTGCTGGGCAATTGACAGTCCACTTTTAATATTAAGGGAGCAGGCAGGCAACAGGCCAAGAGGCGGAGGAAAATCGGATGGTGGGAGAAGTCGCAAGAGAATCCTGAACGGGCTCTGGCCAGCGGAGTCTCAGGTGGTGGTGTAAACAAATTTTCCCGGCGTTTGTACAGTCCCACAAACAAACAAACACACACAGGCACAGACTCAGACACACACACACACACACACACAGCACTCGCATATATACGGATTATAAACAATGACGGCTCAAACGGTTTACCAGAAAGTCGTCAGACTGTCCCTTCGCTCGGCCGTAAATCTGTCCAAGCGGCGCCTGGATGAGCTGAGCGCTGGGATCGGAGAGCTGCGCCAGCTGCTGTCATGTGTGGTGTGCTGCCAACTGCTGGTGGATCCATATGTTCCGAAGGGGAAGCACTGCCATCACTATGTGTGCCGGCTGTGCATAAGAGGACGCAAGCGGCTGATGTCGCGGTGCAGGCAGTGCGAAGACTGCTCCGATTTCAAGACCTACGAGGAGAACCGTCTAATGGCCGTACAGTTGCTCTGCTACAAGACGCTCTGTGTCCATCTGCTGCAGTCTTCGATGTTCACCCAGCTAGCTGGACAGTTTCCGGATTTGAGCCATGTGGCACAGTTTCCGCGCATCAGGCTGCCACCCATGACAACACAGGAGTTCATCAGGGAAGGGACCAACTATGATGATATACGGGAAACATTTCTGCCACAGCCGGATCTGCCCTTCCTGAAGAATCTTCCCTTATCTCTGCCCGCTGAGACTCCGCCCACCACTGCGGCCACAACTCCCGAGCTGCCGTACGAGCAGAACCTTCCCGAGCAGCTGTCCATCACGGATATTGAAATGGAGGCAGCCGCCACCGCAGAGCAGTCTCAATTTTCACATCCGCTGCCCCTAATGCCGACAGGGTCGCAGATGGGTCTAATGGCCGTCCAGCCGCCGTTCATTCTGAACGAAGGCTCCCTGAGCACTGAAGCCGGCTACACGGAGAACAGCTGGAACGAGCTGGAGCAGGTGGATCTATCTGATGCAGTCTCCATGTCCAGCTTCCCCAACAACACAACGGGCTATGCCATGACCTATGTCATGCCCACGGCTGCATCCACTCCATTCGAATCGCATCCCCCGCAAGCGCTCCAAATTGGTCAAGTGGTGAGAATAGAAGCGTCCCCACAGCCAGCTCTGTTGGCCATAACGACAGCTGAGGTTGAGCTGTTCCCCTCCCAAAAGAGAAAGATAGCCCAGCTGGATATGGAGCAGGAGCAGGAGCTGCAAAACCAGGCGGTAGCCCCAGCGAGCGTTAGCCAGTTGGTGCTCCAGCAGGAGCAGGAGGTGCAAAACCAGGCGGTAGCCCCAGCAAGCGTTAGCCAGTTGGTGCTCCAGCAGGAGGCATGTCTGGAAAATGTGAGCCATGACGCAGCATACCTGCAGAATATCATCCAGGATGAGGCATACCTAGAGAATGTCAGCCAGGAGGAGGGATACCTGGAGACCGTGAGCCAGGAATCATTTTTGGAGAGTGTCAGCCAGCTGGTAATTCCGGAGATTGTCAGCCAGGAGAAATCACAAGAGATGGTCCACCAGGATACCATTCAGGAGAGTGTCTACCAGGAGAAATCTCAAGAGATTTCCAGCCAGGATGTAGTGCAGGAAAGTGCCAGCCAGGACACATGTGCAGAGAGTGTCACCGAGGAAATATACAAAGAGATTGTCATTGAAGAGGTATACCAGGAGAGTGCCAGCCAGGAGGCTGGCACGCAGGAGCAGAGTGTCATCAAGGGGATATATCAGGAGATTGTGAGACCCTCCGCATCTCAAGAGAGTGCCAACAAGAAGACGTCGAAGGAGGAGAGTGTTGCCGAGGAAATATATCAAGAGATTGTGAGACCCTCCGCATCTCAAGAGAGTGCCAACAAGAAGACGTCGAAGGAGGAGAGTGTTGCCGAGGAAATATATCAAGAGATTGTCAGACCCTCCGCATCTCAAGAGAGTGCCAGCAAGAAGACGTCGAAGGAGGAGAGTGTTACCGAGGAGATATATCAAGAGGTTGCCACACCCTCCGCATCTCAAGAGAGTGCCAGCAAGAAGACGTCGAAGGAGGACAGTGGTGCCGAGAAGAGATATCAAGATGTTGCCACAACCAACAAGAAGGCATCGCAGGAGAAGGATGTCGTCGAGGAGATAATTGAAGAGGTTGCCAGGACCTGTGAGGAGTTTTCGGAGGAGGAGAGGCTTACCGAGGAGCTATATCAAGCGATTGCCAGAACCTCAGCACCGCAAGAGACTTCCAGCCAGGCGACATCGCAAGAGAATGCCAGCTCGGATGAGTCATATGAAGAGGTGACCTCCTCAGAGGAAGAACTGAGTTCCAGCCAGGAGTACACACCAACCACCACCACCAGGGACAAGAAGAAAGACACGGAAATTAATCCTGCTAGTTCAAAGCGCTCCTGCGCCATAACCGAGAACCCTTTCAAATTGAAAGCAAATAAAGCTCCGTCACCGACACGCATTCAAGGACCAGTTTCTAATCCTGTGCCTGTGCCTGTGCCTGTGCCTGTCCCTGTCCCTGCCAAACTTTCTTCCACCAAAACGTCTGTTAAATCCTCCGCAAAAACAACTACTAAGATTACTACGACGGGGTCATCTCGTAGGAGTGCAGGAAAGACGAAGGAAAAGCCACCGAAGCCCATATGCCGTTGCGGAACCTCTGGAGTGGCTGTCAACCCCAAAACGACCTGTCGCAATACCCGCTGCCCCTGCTACAAGTCCGGCAATACTTGTACAAATTGTCACTGCGTTGGTTGTCATAATCCGCATAAGACGGACTTCCTCGATTCCGATGACGAAGACGAAGAATTTGAATTGGAAAACTTGGAGCCCACATCTCTCCCCAATCCCCAGAGCGAGAAAAAGTCTACAACAACAGCAACACCAACAGCAACAACAACAGCAAAGGCAACACCAGCACCAACAGCAAAGACAACAGCAACAAAGGAGGTAAATGCCGAAAAGGCTGCTAGTTCCCAAGGCGGTATAAGTTTAGTGCCCCTTAGCAATCTTCAACAGTCCCAACATCCTTTGGTTCTCGTTCAGAACGAGAATGGGGAATATCAAGGTAAGATTATGATCCTTTTGGGTTCGATTGAGGTTCGATTCGATCATCTTTTAATTCTCTCATTCGCTGTGTCTTTCAGGTTTCAACATCTTCCAAGGCACCGTACCGATTGATCCTGCCACGGTTGGCTTTCTGCGTGTCCAGCTGCAGAATAACGACCCCAAAAGCAAGGTTCCTCAGTATGCGTACGTGATGCCACATCCTACACTTATGGCTTCGGATGTTGCACCTCCGCCAGCGCCAGCTACCGAGCCAAAACCAAAGCCAACGCCCGTTTCAGTTGAGCAGCCGCCTGCAAAGAAATTCAAGCCTGCCATCAAAAGGAGTGCTCGTCTACGTGGTTTTGCCCCACGCAATACCATTGATGAGCTGGTCAGTGGTGGCTCCTCCGCCATTAGCAATTCTGCCGCTGGCGACAGATTGTCGGCCACTGACAATGCCCATTCACTGTTCGAGGAGATCATGTCGGGCTCTGATGGTTTATAAGAAACGGGCGGGATATTGATAAAACTTTTTTTTTAGCACGTTCTTGTATATATGTAAATACCCCGTTGCAAGGGGTATACTGTGTGAAGTCTAGTTTTGTATCAGATATCAGGTATTTGTTATCTGCTGTAACGGTTACCCTAAGGACGCCGCCACATTCTAGCTGAAGGCGGAGTTGAAAACTCAGAAAGCTCGCCAAAATAAGCTCAGCTTTGTTTGATCGATCAAGCATGTTTGTTTTTGTATAAACATGTAATTACACAAATAGAAACGATGTAATTGGGCTGATTATCTTGAAAAAGATAATTTTTCATACAATCCACCCGATTCCACCAAAAGATTCGCCAATTGGCAAAAAATATAACTATGCAACATTGCGTTGAGATAGTTCTTAAACTCCAATAATAGTTTAATAGAAACCGATGATAGCTGCTTAAATAAGCTCATAGCAGCCTCTTCAGTTCTGTTCCGCTTTCCGCTCATCTTTCAGCTAGAGCGTGCGCGAGCTCTAAAAGGTATACTGTATCTGTATCACATGTCCTGATATCTTTAATCTGTTTTATTTACCCTGCAAAAGGGGTAAACTGTCCAAATCAAGCTCTGTATCACATGTCTTGATATTTTGCAAGGATGAATGCTTTCATTTGAATGTATTTATTCTCCCAATTGTTTCAGCGTTTTAAATACGCAAATCCACTCAATTTGTTTGGTTCCTGCCACAATTTGTGAGTGCTTTTCAACTTTGTGTATACGGTAAGGTTCGAATCCCTTACCATACTATGCAGAATTTCATCTAGCATTAAGCGATGCAAATGTACATAATATGTATGCACCCCATAGGGAGATCGCCTTAGGGGCCGGTCTTTGTGTGCCGCTCAGAAATATCTTTCTGAGGCTCCCATCTCGTAATGCTTATAGCAATGAATAATATTTGTACAGCAATCGTTGGCAGCCGCCGCTGGCAATAAGATCTAAATTTTTAAGTTAAGGGCAAAGCAATAGTCATACATGCACCAAAAATGTTCTTTTTCGTTCAACGAACAACGAATGGTAAAATATTGTAATGCTTTGCTCCAACTGCGGCTGCTGTTAGCCCAAAAACAAAACAAAAACCTTTTTTTTCATAGCTTAGGTACAATTTTTTTTCATAGCTTAAGTGCAATTTTTTTCATAATTTAAGTACATTTTTTTTCATAGCTTAAGTACAATTTTTTTCATAGATTAAGAAACTTTTTTTGAGCATGAATTTTTTTTGAGCACGTGAAACTAAATATTAACTAAGCCATATAATATGTAATGCATAACATATAAATTCAAAATATGCGAAACCAATATATGTATGTAAAATATTTATGAAAGCAACACATGAGTCTTTTTGGAATAGGACTGGTAACAGCTTTGAGTGGAGGCAGGGAGTCCGATGAACCTCTCTCTCGCGGCATCTGTCAAAGTGCCAGACCGTTTCCGGGCGGCTCGGCTCGGCTCTCTGTGCTCATTTGTGGTGTCGTCGCTCACAGATTACTCACTCAATCTCAATTCAGAGTTCAATCAGCCGCTCCGCTCCGTTCCGAGAGTCGCCCTTAGATAAGCTAAGCTGTGATGCTGCTGCTGTCTGCCTGCTGCTACTGGCTCATCATTATCTCTTGATTAACAACTCAGTGCGTGTTTGTCCCGAGTCAAGTCGAGTACGCTGTCCGAGTACTGAGTGCCGAGTGGAGGCTGGCGCGTTTCCTCTTAATTTCTCACTGACTGATACTGATAAGCAAAAGTTCAAGACAATCTAGAAATGATGAAGCCACTGATAGGGTTTTTGCTCGTGGGATTGCTGATGTGCCAGGCACAGACCCAGCCCCAGGATGTCGACGGTGAGTGCTGTGCTTGTCCCTTGTGCTTCATCTGCCACTTGTGACCTTTGTCCATGCTTTGAAGCAGCTATCGTCGAGCAGGAAGCAGGCGAAACGGATGAAGAACATAACATTGAGGCGACGCAGAATCGCATGGCTGCGCAGGTCGAGGCGGTTCTCGAACACTTCAAGCAGTCGGATCCGTTGGGCCTGCCTGGCGTGCCCATACCCGATCCTATAGACGTGCCCGATGTCAAGAAGAACATGGGCTTCGGCAATCTGGATATGAAGGAGGTGAAGGCCTACGGTCTGTCCAAGTTCCGCATAGACACCGTGGATGCGGACCTAAAGTCGATGAAGGTGAGAGCAAATCAAACTAAATCGAAGGGAAATCCGTAAAACACTTATCTTTGCAGATTAAGGGTGGCGTTCAATTGGATGAGATGTTGGTTAAGGGCAAGTACAATCTGGCCAGCTGGATCTCACGCGCCCAGGGACCCTTTACGGTGATCCTCAAGAATGTGTATGCAGAGGCCACGGCCTTCCTGGCTGTGGAACGTGACGGCCACCTAACCACAGATCGCATCAAGATAGACATTACCTTCAGGGACATGGCTATGGATTTCCAAAACCTTGGTTTCATGGGATCCCTCTTCCAGGGCATGGTCAACTCTGCCCCCAATCTTGTCTTTGATGCGATGAAGCCATTTATGCTGCAGGAGGCCGACAAGCAGCTGCGCAGCGAGATCGATACAATGATCAAAACGAGCATGGGAGATCGCCGTCTGCCGAACTCCATCACGCCTTTGGACAGCGCCATTGCTGAGGGCCGTAAGGTGGTGCGCCAGATGGGCTACGATCCGTATCATCTACCGGACATGAATCGCACTATGGGAGTGTTTAGCGTGCAGCTATCGCACACCTGGATCCACGGCATCTCCAGCTTCTATCGTGTCGGCAACATAACGGCCCTCATGGCCAATAAGACGGTGTCGCTGGTGTTTCAGGTGGGCACCCAGCAGGTGACTGGAGCCGGCCAATGGGAGATGGGGCTGGGCATGATGACCCGTGTCGGTCACGTACAGTTTACTGTGCAACATATTCGCGCCACTGTGGGCGTCAGTCAGTCCCTGGACACCCGACAGCGTCCGCAGATCACCGACCTCCAGTTCGACATGGGCAATATCCAAGTGAGATGCGATGGCGCCGGCACCTTGGACTATGTGATGGAGTTTGCGGTGAATGTGGTGCCCAATTTGCTGCGCTACCAGATCATGGATGCCATCGAGAATCCCATCAAGCAGCGGGTTCAGGAGAAATTCAACACCATCGATGTGGAGCAAGCCATCAAGCAGCTGGCTCACAAGTACGAAACGGAAGGCAGCAACTTTACTTTCGATTTTAAAATTTAAAAAGCGGTTTCCTTTAGAAATCAATATAATATCTGCAATTGAATAAAGATTTATATCCCTTTCAACTGACCAATCGGGAATCACAAGTCTAATCTGCACAGGGCTATCTACATTGAATGCAGAGTGGAGAGTGTAGAGTGCAGACTGTAGAGTGGAATGTCCTCCTCCCTAGGGCTCTTTAATGGTGAAGCAGAGCAACTGCAGTCTCATATTCCGCTTCACACGCTCCAGGATCTCGTCTGCCTTGCGCTTCTGTTCGACATTCAGCGGAGGATTGATCGCCTCCAGTGCCTCCATGAAGTAGTTTCTGTAAAAAGTACAAATTGAAATGAATGCCAGGTAAATCTGAATCAAGGGGAACACTCACTTGGCTGTCTCATTCGCATAGCCTTCGAGGGCATCCCTCAGTAGGCGGATGTCCACGTGGGCCTGTATGGCACCCGTAAAGCTGAAGCGCTGCACGCAGCTCATTAGGCGAGCCAGCTCCTCAGATATGGTCTGAACAATGGACTCCAGGATGGGACGTAGCAGGGCTGGGGAGATGCTGTAGATCTCCGAGTAGACGCCGACGAGGTTATCGCAGCATTCATGGGCATAGGGTCGCAGCTGACCAATCTCCATCTCGTGATCCCACTGAAAGCGACCCAGGTACATCGACGGCTCAATGGTGCCCACCAGCGGATCGCCCTTGTGCTCCACATACTCCTCCAGCAGGTTGGTGAACAGCTGGTTCACCGTATAGCGCGACGTCTCAATAGCCAGCGTCGGCAAGGGATAGCCGTAGCGAACGAATACGTCTCCGATGTGGGGGAAAAAGCTCTTGTTGCAGTAGGCATAATTGGCCAGGCAACAGAGCATACGCTGCTCCCAGGTGACCGCTGCTCCACCACTGGCTACAGAGTCCAGCTGCTGGGCATTGGGAAAGCCCAACAGCTGGGAGACGTTGTGCGTGGGCGTCTCCTCGTCGTGGGACTGAAAGGCCAGCTCCTCAATAACCGCACTGAAGGTGGAGAGAAATTCCTGCAGGCGCTGCGACACCTCACGCTGTCCATCTGACTGCGGCTCAAGCAGATTTCCCTCCCGGGACTCTGGCTGCATGCAAACCGACTGCACCTCATCCAGCGTTTCCACGAGAAGTGCCTCCAGGGCGGCGGGCAGAATGGTTGCACCGGGATAATCTTCTACACCCAGCTCCCAGGTCTCCTGGCTGCCCAGCTTCTTGCAACGGTCTGTGGAGCGTTTGAAGATGATGGAGAAACAGAAGAGCCGGACCTCGTCGATAAGTTTCTGAATGATGTCCAGGGCATCGGAGGGCAAATCCAGGCCAATTAGGGTGGCATAGGCAATTCTCGTATAGCGAAGACATTGAGGAATCCACGGGAGGAACTGATGTGTGGCCGAGGCGGAGCCAATCGACCAGCTCAGGCCGCTGGACTGGCGCAATGCACGCTGATCACCGGCTATGAGTATGGCCAGTCGCAGATACACGCAAAATTTCTCAATCGCGTTGAGAATCATTTTCTTGAAATCACCCGGCTTTGGATCGTGGGGACCCCGGAGCTCTCCTGTGAAGTAAAGCTGGCCTAGACGCCACAAATCCGGCAACTGAGAAGCGGCAATGTCGCAGAGCTCCTCGCAAAAGTTGACACGACTTGGCGCCTGGCTGGGATCACGATCACGGTCACGACTCTTGGACTTCTCCGGCGTGCCGGCTGCATCTTTGTTGGCATGCTGCTCGAATGTTTGCCGGAAAGTAGCCTCCAGATACTTGGCTCTGGCCTCAATGGCATCCCATGCAGGATCTATGTTCCGCAGCTTATCTCCAATGGGCGTGCCACTCTGCTGGAGCTCCAGGCTGGTCAAGGCCTTTATTAACTTCTTCTGCTGGTCCACGCTTTGAGGCATCTTGACCACCTTCTCGTGAAGCTGCTTCCGTATGGAAAGAATACGTTGATCGACCTCTTCCAGCACCTTCCGGAATATGGGAATCTCAGTCTTGCCAAACAGGTTCTTGGCGCGTGAGTAGTCATTGACCACTATGTCATATTCGCCCGCCTTTGCTCGCCGATCCACCGCATTAGGCAGGCAGAAGAGAAACTTGTGCCTGGACAGAGCGAACAAGACGGATCGGGTGGAGTCTGCCTTCTCCTTACGCACCAAGACATCTGTGAAGATCTTCTGCGACTCGGTAATTGAGTCTGAAAAGAGAAAAGGAACGCTTTAGAATCACAATCGTGCCAGAGACACTTCACTCTCACTCTCTATGGACGCTTCCAGAATGTTCAGCGGTTCGGTTCCATGCAGTTTGAGATCCTCTTGCAGCTTGTCCCGTATATTCATCAGCGTGTCCAGCTGGTCAATGACAGAGCCCGCATTGGATTTGAGGAACGACAACTGTCCCTCCTTTTGACTCTCCACCTTACGCTTCAGATATGCCAAGCCTGCCTTGAGGTCTTCAAAGGATGTGGCCAAATGATTTTCCAGCAGGAACCAGGAAGGCGAAAAGTGCTCCTGCGATAGATCGCCACAGGCCTCGGGAAACAAATCTCGCAGATCTTCTGGGATCTTCTGTTCATTGCCTTCGATTGATAGCCCCAGAGGATCCTCCTGCGTTAGCCCCGACTGAGTCAGGGTTCGTCTTCCCCAGGCAAAATTTTGTGAAGGCGACTCTTCAATCCATACAGCAGACTCCTTCAGCGGACCGATGGTTTCGTGATAGGCACGGAACTGAACTGTCGACGTACCCACTCCGCCGCTTAGAGTGGTCACTATGATGTCACCCTTTCCCTTGGCCGGGCCGGTGCGTGCTATAATTTTGTTGGACGATTTCCATTCCGCAGACAGCAGACAGTCGGAGCCGCAAATCTTTAGACCTGGAAAAAGAGGAAGGTTACCATTAAACCAGCTCGATGTGGTGGTGTCGATGTCCGTCTACGCCTACCAATTAGGTCTTGCACTCGAGTGCCCAGAAATTCGCCTCGAATGATGACGCGAGTACCAGGAGGACCCTCTTTTGGAGACAGTCCTGTTACCACCGGTTGTGGGGCCATGGTGAGCTTTATGACCGGTGGAAGTGGCTTAAAATTTGGCAACAAAAACGCCAAAGGAAATAAATTTCCAAAGTTTTATTGTAGCTCAGTGTTAACTAATCCCTAAGGACAGTGTTGCAAAACTTCAATTTGTTTGTTTATATTTCTTTGTTTTCTGTTTTTTATTAGAGAATTTAAAAAAATACAAGATAAGGGTATTGTAATCTTAACTGAATATCTTTTAAGAAGCTGCAGGAACCTTAAATCTTTGTTTGCCACTAATTTGGGGCGAATAAAAGTATATGACTAAAAACATCGATTTCGGAGCAAAAACATCGATGTCAGCACTTACATCTAAACAGCTCTAGCTCTAGAAACAGCTGAAGAAGTCCGCTGCTGAAGAAAAATGGATGACGTCGCCACAGCACAAAGCGAGAATGAGAATTTACGGAAAATTCGCAACCGCCTGATGCAATGGGAGTCCAAGACCGATCCCCTGGCGGCGCTCAGTGTCCAGCAGGAGGAACATTTGGATGTCTTCGCAAATCTGTGGCGAGACAGCGGACCATCGGTAAGTGTGCTTGTCGCAAGTGCGAACAAATTGATAAGACTCATCTTTGTTGATAGTTGCCGGTAGGGACCACTCCTTCGACAGCAGAGCCATCAGACGAGGCGAACACAGAGGGCGCGCCAACAAAGAGTACTGACAATATAGAACTGCCTGCCGAGGGCCTTCAGAACACCAACGATTTCCTGCTCTGGTTTGTAGACGTCAATGCTGAGATCGAGCAACGTGGCGATGCGGTTTATCACAAATATCTGCAGCAGTTGGAGCAGCGCAAGGCGGAGTGCTCCCACATGCTTGGCCAAATCTCGGTAGCCATGGATCGTTTGGGGGCCCTCTCCGACGAGTACGAGTTTGTGTCGCAAAAGACGAGTGCCTTGAACACGGCCAGCGAACAGTTGATCGATGAGCAGGAGAAGCTCCAGGATCTGAGCAATGAAATTCAACGACGTTTGCATTATTTCAGTCAAGTTGAGCTGCTGAATCAACGACTTCAAAGTCCTACGTTATCGGTGGCCAGCGAAGCGTTCCGGGAATGCTTAAATAAAATTGATGAATGCTTGAACTACATAGAAGAAAATGTAAGACTTTAAACCCAGCCCACTTTAAGCTCATCTTCAGCAAGCTACATGTTTATTTGCACCCTATTCTAGCCCAAATTTAAAGACGCCGCCACCTACAATGTGAAGTATAGACAATGCTTGGCAAAGGCCTCTGGCCTGGTGCGAAACTATGTCACCAGCGTGATCAATCAGGCCACGGAGGCTACACTGCATCCCAAGAATAGCGCAACTGATTCATCTAGCGCCCTGCAAGCACCGGATGCTGCCTTCGCCTTGTATTATGGGAAATATCAAACAGCAGCAGCGAAGGTTAAACGAGTGGTCCAACTGATTGAGACTCGTCTGGAGCACAGCAACGACTATACCCAGCTAATGACCGACTTGCAGCAGCATTACTTGGCTCAGCGTGCCAGTGTGATGTCGCCAGCAGTGAACCTTTCGATACAGAATGTTAAAACGGCCCACAAAGGAGACCATTGCTCGTTGACGCGGAGTGCATGCGGATTTCTCGTGCATGTGTGTCAGGACGAGCAGCGTTTGTTTTACCAGTTCTTTAGTACAGGCGCGCCACACCTGACGTGAGTTTGTCTAAATTAGAATCGATTCAGGATTGATCATGTCCTTGTTTTCAGCGTTTATCTAGAAGGCTTGTGTACTATTCTTTATGATACATTGCGGCCCTTCATCATACACATTAATCATTTGGAAACGCTGGCCGAGATCTGCTCTATCTTGCGCATTGAAATGCTTGAAGAGCATGTTCAACAAAATCGTATGTTAATGCGAAATACTTTGTAATATTTGATAATATGTCAACAATCTTTTTATCTACAAGCATCCGCCCTGGAGGCCTTTGCCACCATTGCTCATCAATTACTGCAGGATGTGCAGGAGCGTTTGGTATTCCGTGCACATTTGTATCTACAGTCGGACATTCAGAACTTTAATCCTTCATCAGGCGACCTGGCCTATCCCGAGAAGCTGGAAATGATGGAGGTATAAACCTAGCTCTATACACTTAACCGATTTAACTATTTAATAATTCAATATAAACAATTTGTAGAGCATTGCGTTATCTCTTCAAGAGCCTACTCCTTTGCGCAGATCGGATTCGCGCGCCTCCGTTATTTCCAGTGTATCGAGTGTTTTAGAAACAGAAAGCGTTGATAATTCCTACAGAATCAAGCAAATGAGTACGCATCGAAGGAATAGAATAGGTAGATCTTAATTGAACAATCAAAATAATTCTTTCAGATTCCCCCGCTGATTTGCATGGCATGTGGTACCCGACTGTTCGCCGCACTTTAGTCTGCCTCTCCCGCTTGTATCGCTGCGTTGATCGACCCATTTTCCAAGGCCTTTCACAGGAGGCTCTAAAGCTCTGCATCCAAAGTGTCTCCTATGCCGGTGGCAAAATTGGAGCTGCCAAGACGCCAATCGACGGAGAACTCTTCGAAATCAAACATCTGCTGATCCTTAGGGAACAGATTGCTCCATTCCGAGTGGATTTCACTGTAAAGGAAACATCTTTGGACTTTAGTAAAGTCAAGACCGCTGCCTTTGGACTGCTGCAGAAGCGGAAACAGCTTTTCTCCATGGGCAGCAACAATGCTTTGCTCGAATTCCTGCTAGAGGGCACACCACAGATAAAAGAGCATTTGCTTGACTCTCGTAAGGAGGTGGACCGTCAGCTGAAGACAGTTTGCGAGAAGTACATCAGAGATGCTGTGAATATGTTAATCGGCCCCTTAATCACATTCCTGGACAAGACACAGAGTCTGCTGGCACAAGCGGCCTCCACAACAGCCTCAACGCCAGAGTCTTCGTCCCCAAAGGCAAGCTACGTTCTGAGGCAGAGCCCCTGGGCGAGTCCGCAGCAGATAAGCAGTATCATTCAAGAAACGCAGCGCATGATCAAGGCCAAGCTGGCAGTGCTCCAGCGAGCCATGCAACTCTACCTGAGCAATCGTGATACGGAATTCATAATCTTTCGCCCCATACGTGTAAGTGTCCTAAATTCGAGGATATGTAAAAAATGTATTTAAAATCTTGTAACCCTTTAGAACAATATCATACAATCGTTTGTTAAACTGGAGCAATTACTGACCACAAACGGCTACTCTACAGATGATATGATCATCACGAGCTGCCCGTCTGCGGAACAGGTATCCATCTTGCTTTCCAGTGCCAGTATTTTGGCTGCAGAGGGAGTGGCAAGTTTTGCAGCGGCAGCAGCACGAAAAATCAGCACCTCGTCCTCAATAGAAGGTGCAGCAGCAGGTGGCAGAAAACTGAGCACAATGTCCAACAAAGCCGAGTTGTTGCAAGAGTCCAAGGCAGAGGAACTGGAGGCCGTTAGATCAGAAGCAGCGCCAGCTCCAGCGGAGAGTACAGCTTCAGAGAATGTAGTGGCTGAATTAGAAGTGCCAACATCCGCGCAGGCCAGCTCAGAATAGTTTGCAATGTATCCCCTATGTAACTTATATGTATATCTATTTATCTAGCTAAGCCATGTAATATATTTATATGTTTAAGAGCTGCATAAGAGTGGTGTCTGCAGCCTGTTGTGGTTTATCCTTTCCAAAAAAACAAAATGTAGAATTAACATTGATTTATTTTTGCTAAACCACGTAGAATGTGACGAAGTCGAAGTAAATTATCAACAAAACATTACGAGAACAATAACAATAAGCAAATAGTTCGAATATTCTCTAATAGTAGTTGGGGCAGATTCCTTGCTTTGCTGCTGGTCAAGTGATGGATATGTCGAGAGTTGTACTCGTAAGATTCTGTAACTAGGACAGCGAACACTTGTCCTTGGCATTTGATTGCTGCCCGCCCACAGTAACACCCGGTGCGTTGTTCTGGGCTGGTGTCTGGCGGTTACGATCCAGTTCCGCAGCGTCATCCTGTTCCATTATTGATAAGGCTAGCGCCCGTGCCAGAGCCTCGTCTTCAGTCTGAAGCAAAATATAGTTTGGAATTGGTTAGTTTCAGGCAACGAAACTATGGTTCTATTTCAATGATGACTTACCATATTTCCCTGTATATTTTGAACTTGTGCGGCCTGCACTGGTCTTGGTCTGGGATTTGAGTTGAACAGGTTGTTTGCTGGCTTATTCTGACGACGACTTTCCGCTGCTTTAGCCGCATTCGATCGTGCGTCAGTGGATGACTTGAATATAGATTGAAAAACTCCACTGGCTCCACTGGGCGCTGCTGGCGTGGGCTCATTTGGCCTGCATTCGTGGTCGCTGGTATGACGGTGACGTAGACAGAAGTTCAAGTGGCACTGTGTACATTTCACAGGAATGAGTTCCTTGCGTTTACAACCTTTGGCATGGCAGCGATTTGTATAGATTTTCTTGCTCTCCGATTTGCATTGCTTGTCAATGTGTTGGCCAACTGTTAGGTCAGGTTCCACGCCAGGCGCTGTGGGCACTGGCTCATGACAGAGCGGACAGATGGGCACCTGGACATTTTTCTTGTACGCTCCGGGACAATTGTGACGATCGTAGTTGTAGTGGGAGGCGCAAAATACCTTGTCGCATGAGTCACACTTGACAGGTAGGAAATCTATGAATATATTTTCGAAATTAATTGAATTAATGGTCTGCCTTTACTTCCTGGTTGGAGGTTTTTGCTTCTCACCCAATCTGTTGCATGTCTGCTCGCTGCAATGCTGGCCCAAATGTGGAAACTCCATAGTGTTCTCGTGGCGTCTACTGTCGAGTTGAAAATATACCTTCTCACAGGTTGCAGCTGCTTTTATTGCCTTTGCCCAATCAAAGAAAACTTCCAGAAAATCGTCGATTTTTATCAATAATGACTAAACAGAAATATAAATTGTGAAACAGGGTAGTTTTACACAAAATATCGGTACTTTTGTGCGATAAAAACCAACTGTATACAGAACCAGACCTGAGAGAGTTCAAAAAATTTGAAAAAAGCATACAATCACATATTTTTGTCGAAACATATTGCGTGTGTACTAACACATGCAAAGATGTTCTCTCTGCGCTCTCTCTCTCACTCTGGGGTACTGAACGCGCGCCCCTTTTTTTTGTCCGTATAAAGTACAAAAATCTGTGGCATTAAAATTTTAAAGATAAGAGAAAATAAAAACTCAGAATCATAAAGAAAGACCATATAACCCATTCCGAAATACTCCAAGTTAAAATTCAAATTTATTTAATAAATTTTAATGAAATATATTTTTTTGCTATTATATCCCAGAAACTTTTCAGCATTACTATAGCGCAGGGGGACTAATCAAGTGTTCACTATGCTTAAATTCTTGGTTCTCCGAAGTTCGATAAAATGAAGAGCCGGAAACTCGAGTTTCTCGGACTGCGAGTAGTTGAGCGGAAATTTTAAATCAGATTATTGAACCACTATTTACATCTATACATATTTACAAATTTATTTGTTTGAAATGCTCTCTTTGTCATGATACAAAATGTTTTAATAGGAATATATATATAAATACATAAATATACCAACAACAATTAAGGAAAAATATTTCCCAACAATAATGGTATACATTTCAATTTGGAAATCGTTAATAAAGTCTTCTTCTTCACTTTAATTAAATTTCTGGATTCATTTTGCGTTGTTTTAAATAATACCGAATATGTGTGAATAATGAGAATACGCAGCTTTAAATCTGCTATTGCCATTTTGCTTTGTTTTAGCAATATATAAGCATAATTACTGTGCATATAAAGAATAAAGAGATAACGTTGGTGCGAATGCATCGATAGTTAAAGTTTAACTTTCTGAGAGGAATTGAAATCTTTTGCTTGGAAATACAAACAGCAGCTGCAGATTGCTAGACAAGTGCTGATGGCGAAATATAGCTCCAAATCTTTAGATCAAGAACAAATTTGGTCCCGCTGAAAAAATGTTCATAGCGCGCTTGGCTGTTGGCTCTTGACAGTTTTTGGAAATGCATTGAGAAAAGGTTGTGAATTAAAGTTAAACGATTTCACGGGCAAACGGAGCAAACGCCTCCCAATAGCTGACGATCTAGAATGCAAAATGGTTCGTTTTTTGATAAGCGGATGGTCAAATATTTTTTTATATTCACCTGTTGCTGATGTGCCATTTGGTCTTCTATATATTTGATAATATTTGCTTTAAAGTCTTTCACTCTGGTCAATTCGAAGCGCTCCATTTCACGCTTAATTTCCGCCGATATGTCATCAAAATGCTGCTGACAGCGTTGTACCTTTCCTTGCCACTGTAAAGGGCAGAATGACATACGATTTCAACAAGGAAATATTAAACTTATTATGCAGACCCACCTCATCCACTTCTAACTGGGCCTGATCCAACTTATCCGCACGATTGGCCAACTCAAAGCGGCCACGATTCTCTCGTCGCTTGGACAACTGCATTTGAGCATATTGCCAGTTTTGAAAAGACTTGACGCGCTCATGGAAAATGCACTTAATGGCACCAAACAAGCCCAAGTAATCCTTGATGAACTCGGCGAGAATAAAGAAATCAGAGTTGGCTTGCTCAGAGCGCAGAAGTTCCATTTTCTCCTCCACATCCGCCAGATTAGACAGGGCACGCGACAGTCCAGTGTGTTCCTCGCAAGTGCTAAGCATTGCAGCGGATTTGGCCACCAAGCCGGTTAGTGCAGAAAGTTCCCGTCGTGAGGTGACCAGAGACTTCATTGCATTATGCAGCTTTTGAAGGTTCGCATCCAAATTCTCCACCTCAGTGATCTTGTCGTCAAACCAGGGATCATTCTCATCCATTTTATAGGTAATTTTGTTTACAGTTTCGCCCACTTTATTAAACAAGCGAATCACACCGGCGCCACTCAGAGCCGAGGTGTTAACGGCGCGCGGCAGATCCTGATCGCTTTCCAGAAAATTCATGAAATCCAAGTCCACACGCAGTATAGGGTGCTGTGCGGTGCGGTGGACAAAGCGTTCCAGCGCTGCACGTCGAATTTCTACCCACTCCTGGTTCATTGGAGTGCCCGGCTCACTCTGCTGTGGACTAATCTTCACCTTAGTACTGCCTATTATGTTCTTCGATGGGGCTGGGGGTATTATCCGTCCCACCCGCATGTATTTTCCGACCAGCAGATCATGTATGCCAAGGAAATCACTGAAGCGTCGCAAAGTGCTGAACTCTGTCCGCTTGAACTTGGGAATGTTAGTTTTGGTCGTCACTCTAGTCATTAGGGAAAGCCGATAAGTAACATAAACAGAATCAATAGTATGCAATTCCATGATAAGCCAGTGGGGCGGCGTGACTCACTTGTAGGCCAAATATGAGCCCATGCCATCGCCAATCTTCTGGGGGTCAGATACAACAATTTTTATAAAGAAGTCTCCATCGTCCGTCAAAACTTCTTGCAGCGGCTGTAATTCAGAGAGAAAGAGACGATTCAATTGATGATAAGCACACAAACAACAACATGGCTGTGTGCTGGTGGGCGGCTCTAATGACGTTGTCAACGCCAAACAAAGCACAGCAACAGTCTCTGGTTGATAAAGCAAGCAAAATGGAGAGCGCCGCCCCAAAAATTAAACCTAATTTAATAGGCATCCTGTTGGGCGTACGCTCTGATTTGACTTACATGCACATCCCCGATGCTACTGGGACTCATGGCTGATACGAATAAATCATTTTCGTTCTCCAAAGTAACGCTGCCGGGCGCTGGAACTTCTTCCTCGTCATCGGATGCCGATTCAGCACCATTATTAATGTCCACTTCAGCGAATTCTTTGTTGTGTTCGGGACTTTCCACTTCCATGCTAATTGTCAATGCAGCGTTTTTCTGTTTCTTAATAATCAGAAAAACTCCTTTAAGTTTACTTCTTGCCTAAAAGCTTCAATTTTTCGACTGCAGCAGTGTGACCGCGGATTTATCGATAAAATATACCGTCCGAGCCTCAGAAATATACCGAAATATGCCGTCTTATTTGAAAAATATACCGTAAATATACTGACGAATTCAAGTTATATTTTACATATTCTTCGTTTTTGATATTCCGTCGAATATTACCAGCTATATAGAACATTTAGCCATGCCCACACAATTTTATACGATTGATGAATCAATTTTCTTCTTGACTGGCTTTTTTTAAATATATGCTTTTATTGGATTTTGTCTAAAAACGGATATTCGTATTGCTCAATTTAGATATTGGAGCGCCTTAACCGCTTGGAAGAGAGCAAAAAGAGCCAATAACCGTTTCGAAGAAAGTAGTTCGGCAATCCATTGGAATAAACGATTTGAGAGCGAAAATTTAAAAAATCCTGCGTATGGACGCCTATAGCCTTTGTTCGAAAATATACCTTTGAAAGTGAAATTTAATAGATAGATGATATATTTCCATATATGTACATTTAAAAGTAGGTCAGAGGGCAATAGCCTGTACAATATATTTAGATCAGATACCGCCTCTCAATATGAGATAAAAGATATAATATTTAAAGATAATACTCTCTATGAGGGTCATATATCAGACAGATTTGAAAGTAACTTTCCTAAACTTGTAATATATACTTATGAACTCAATTAATATTAAAGAACTTTTTTTAAAACGATCAAATATAACATAGATTAAATGCTGTATTGCTTTGATTTTATTAATATGAAAACTCCTGCTTATTTCAGACTAAGCAAACTTAGCTTGGTGCCACTTGATTGGTCGATATCCAGGATATAAACGAAGAGACTTGCACATAAACTGACGGAGAGTTGGCCTGGCCGCAGGGCAGCTTGCCCCAGGAAACTATACCAATAAGGACATTGCCTTGGACCAAAGGACCTCCAGAGTCCGAGGTGCAGATGCTGACGCCGCCAGTAAGTGGACCAGTGCATAGATTCGTTGAATGAACATCGCTTCCTTTAGTGCCCAAAGCAGCTTCACACGAGGCCAAACTGATGATTGGCAGATTATTGGCTACTTGGAGTGTTGAGGGATATGAAGCCGTATTGGTTGTACTGGTGCTTCCCCAGCCATATAGGCTGGCGGTACCCGTTGGCACCTTGCCAGATGCGGGAAGGCTAACAGGAGCCACTGCAGCTGACCACTTAAACGCTGTCGGAGTGTAAATCAAACCAATGTCGTAGGGCACAGTCCCTCCGGTGTACAAATCGTTGACTACGAAGTAGGTAATGGTGCGCTTTTGGGTTGTACTCGCCGTTCCCGCCACTGCAATGCTTCCTGCGACTAAAGTGCTTCCCAGCACTTGAGCGCTGTTCGTCAGGCAATGGGCGGCCGTCACCAGCCAGTTGGTATTCAGGATGCTGGCGGCACAATAGTGAGTTCCTTGGTACTGCATGGACACGGCGTAGGGAGCACTATTTGCGGCTGCCGCCACACCTCCCACAACACGACCATTTGGATCTGCAGCCATCGCACATGCCTGGCGTAGGCCAAGGGCCAGGAGTAGGTAACACGCGACAAGACAAGAGCGTGACATTGTTTGCTGTCCGTAGTTTTCGTAGAACTGTTTACATCTACCTTTATCACGGTCCGTTTAAATTGAAATGAGATACGAATTTTCAAGAAGATAAGGGTTTCAATTAACTTTCATGTTTTCGAGATAAGCGTTTATTATAATTAAGATTAAGTGACTCCCAAGCAGGGGCACTTGACGTGGTACATACATATATCCAGCCATTCGCCTAGACGAATGCGCAGAAAAGTTCAAGTGGAATCTATCTCAAGATGTTGCATTCCAAACATAGTCCACGGCTCGGATATTCTTGTCGAACAGCAGTCGGCCGAAGCTGTTCCTCTGGCTGAAGATGATGTACATAGTTCTTGTGTGGGATGCAGGAGATTCCGTTCTTGGCCAGATGGTAGTGGGTGGAGCAGGTACAGGTCATGCGCCGTCTACCGCGCTGGTCCAAGCCCAGGAGGGAGCAGCCCCCGTTGTTGAGCTTTAACGCATTCACGCGAAGTGATGTACGTCATGCCCGAATGGACGAGGCTGCGGTTCTCGCCCGTCGTCTTGTGCACCCGCTCAATGTCCCGTTGCACATAGGAGCCGGAAGATGCACTTGGTCTTCTGGTTAGTCCAGTAGATGCACCCTCGCTGTACTCGGTCGATATGCGGGCAATGTGCTCCTGGCGCGAGAACAGCAGGAAGGCGGCAGGTAACACGCAGGGGGGTCGCGGGGCCGGTACAGGCAGAGGTGGAGCAGGCCCCATTCCCCACGGCTCACGCAACCTTGTCGGCCAGAATCCTGAAGACGGTTTCCAGATGCCGTTATCGAACAGCTGTTCCACCCCCACCCCCCCTGTCGAGGTCTGTTCTTCTTCTTCCTTTTGCATGTCATATGTATTTTAATAAAATACCAGAGCGCTGCGAACTTCGGTATTTTTTGCTGTGGATGGATATACCAGTGTTACCATTTTATCCTATTTCTAGATCTAGCTTATTTAAAAACAGAAATTTATAGCTTAAATCTAGCCTTTTTATGTCCTACATATATTTTTAGGCATTGCCCAAAAGAATAAAACTAGCTTTATAAAAAAAAAGCTATAAAATACAGGAGCATGAGGCGGCATTATGCCCTTATATTTAACCTTATGATGGATTTGACCGTTTTTAGCCTTTTTTTTTTACAATTTTTAGCTTGTTCTAGCTTTCATTTTTGTGAAATCCAGCATATTTTTACGCTCAAAATCTGGTAACACTGGGTCACAGCAAACTGACTCAGAAATTAAGAAGAAGACGAGATTTGCTGGCTAAAATTTTTTCCACGACGAAACGAATATTATAAAGTAATTTGATCTGCTAATCACCGCTTCTGCCCGACAGCATTAAGTAAGTGTGTGCATCGACCATTATTTGTATAGTATCGAGAACACAGGGCTACGCATGCAATAGGAGCCACTAAAACCCCAGGCCCAACCCAGTATCAACAAAAGAGGGGAGAGAGTGCGCAAGAGAGAGAGGTCAGCAAACCCGCAATTAAAAAAAAGTAGACACGTACGAGAGTTGCACGGGCGGCGTAGATCGACGAAAGAAGAGACGCAGCAGACACCGCAGCAACCATGTCATCCGGCGACTTTGGCAATCCGCTCAGGAAGTTCAAGTTGGTTTTCCTCGGCGAGCAGAGTGTGGGGAAGACGTCGTTGATTACACGCTTCATGTATGACAGCTTCGACAACACCTACCAGGCAACCATCGGTATTGATTTTCTATCCAAGACCATGTACCTTGAGGATCGGACAGTGCGCCTCCAGCTGTGGGACACGGCGGGCCAGGAGCGCTTCCGTTCGCTGATACCCTCCTACATTCGCGACTCCACGGTGGCTGTGGTCGTCTACGACATCACCAATACGAACTCATTCCACCAGACGTCCAAGTGGATAGATGACGTTCGCACAGAGCGCGGCAGTGATGTCATCATCATGTTGGTCGGCAATAAGACGGATCTGTCCGACAAGCGACAAGTCTCCACCGAGGAGGGGGAGCGCAAGGCGAAAGAGCTGAATGTGATGTTCATCGAGACCAGCGCCAAAGCCGGTTACAATGTGAAACAACTGTTCAGACGCGTGGCGGCGGCGCTGCCCGGTATGGACTCCACTGAGAACAAACCCTCCGAGGACATGCAAGAGGTTGTGCTTAAGGACTCGCCCAACGAGACAAAAGATCCCGAAGGCGGTTGTGCATGCTAGAACTAGTTCTAGACAACCAACGTCACACCCAACCAACCCAACCCCCATCCTCCGCTACGACAACAACAGCAGCAGCAGCAGCATAGCATTTCCACACACACGCTGGCAACGGGTGTGGTGAGTGTGCGTGTACACACAGGTGTAGCGTGTATGTGGCTGGATCAGCGGATCAGCAGTAGACAGAGGATGCGAAACCTCCGGCAAACAAACATCTATACACACATACACAATTTTATGTTTAAGTTTATTTATAAAGTAAAAAATGATAGCAAAAAGCAGAAAATAGACTAAACAAACAAACAACAATTAACGAAATCGGCTAACTAATTAATGTTAATTATCTAATGCAATGCAATTTAAATGAGCTAATCCTGAGGCAGGCCAAGATGCATAAAGCATGAGGCATAGAGATCGTAGAAACGAGAGATCAGGGATCAAGAGAACAGTTTCCATTCTCACATTCACATTCACCCGTTCCCCTGCAAAAGTCCCCATAAATACAGACGACAAGAAGATGCAGATGCCGTAGAAGATCACACGCTTTTATGTACTTAAATCAGGCCAAGCGGTAGACGAAGATCAGAACAGATCCCCCAACAACATTCCATTTGGCATCTCCACACAAAAAGCATGCGAGCATAGGCAGTAAAGTACATAGATACCACTGAGAGCCAGCCTGTGTTCAAAATGATTCCACGGCTAAGCAAATAGTTTTTCCATTTATAGCCCCGTTCTGTTTCTGTTTGCGGCTTTGTTTTGCCCATTTTTACTTGGTTGGTTTTTGTTTATAGCTCGGCAACTGTAAAACAACTGGAAACTTTTGATGGCATAGGACTTGGCCACGTGCATCTTATGAATAAATATATAAATATAAATATATATTATGTATTTTTATGACAAAAATAATGAAACAGACAGACAGGCGGGCAGGCAGGCAGCACCGAGCACTGAGGCAGATGGCAACGTAAACATTTAAAAATATTATTAACGATTTTTGCTTCGATTAGCGAGAGAAATTTGTGCATTTTTTACGCGAAAAGCATATGGCTTACAAAATTGATAATATAATTGAATAAAAGAAACCAACCTAAAACATTTGAATGCAATTTTTAATAAATCAAATTATGAAAATGAAAATATACACTTTACTAGAAATAATTAATTCAAAACAAAAGAAAAAACTAAAACCCCAGAAAGTGAATCATGATATCAGAATAGTTCTTCGGTTCGGTCGCTGCAATTTGGGGCGCCGTATCTTATCGGGCGTGAGTGTTGTTAACTGATTCGATTCCCGCATGGACTGCGACTGGGGCTGGGGCTAGGCGACATGAAATATAGGACTTAGTTTTTTGTTTGTTTTATTTCTGAATTCCGGTTTCATAAGCGTAAATATATTGAAAGAAAAAAATGCCAACTTGTTTGCTTTGCAAATACACATTAAGTATAAGATATATAAATAGAGTTTAAGATGTGGTGTCCCTAGAAGTTGTCCTCGTTTGTGATAAACTCATCGCGTATCTTCTGCAGCTTGGTGATCAGCTCCGAGACAGAGACCTCACCATGCACCTTGTTGTCGCGTGTGCGCACATTGACGGTATTCGAGGAACGCTCCTTGTCGCCGACCACCAGGATAAAGTTGAACTGGGCCAACTGAGCATTTCGGATCTTCTTGTTCATCGTATCGCCGGCATCGCAGTCGGCCTCGCTCATGAAGCCAGCGGCATGGAGCTGGTCCTTGACTGTCTGGGCGTATTGATCGTAGGCCGGACCCACTGGGACGACCATCACTTGACGGGGCGACAGCCAGAAGGGCCATTTGCCAGCATAGTTTTCCGTTAGAATGGCAATCATACGCTCCACAGAGCCCAGGATGGCGCGATGGATGATCACTGGACGCTTCTTCTCGCCGTCGTCGGCAATGTAGTTGAGATTAAAGCGAATGGGTAGCTGGAAATCCAATTGTATGGTGGCGCACTGATGTGCCCGCTTCAAAGCATCCATAATAGTAATATCAATCTTGGGGCCATAGAAGGCGCCATCGCCGGGATTCTCCTTCCAGGGCATGCCGAACTCATTGAGAGACTCCTCCAAGGCCTTCTCAGCATCATTCCACTGCTCGAGCTCGCCCAGATACTTCTCTGGACGCGTGGACAAAACAAGCTGGAAGGTGAAGCCGAAAATGGTATAGACATGCTTCAGGAACTCCAAACAGCCCTTCATCTCGCTCTTGATCTGCTCGGGAGCACAGAAGATGTGCGCATCATCCTGTTGGAAGCGACGCACACGTGTCAATCCAGTCAAGGCGCCCGAGAGCTCATTGCGATGCAAAACACCAAAGTCGGCCATGCGGAGTGGCAGCTCCCTCCAGGATCTGTTGCGAGTATCAAAGATAAGACAGTGGCCAGGGCAATTCATGGGCTTCAGGGCGAATTTCTCCTTCTCCGCCTCGAAGGAGAACATATTCTCGGCATAGTGCTGCCAATGTCCGGATGTCATCCAGAGTTTGGCATTGTAGATGTTTGGCGAGATGACCTCCTGGAAGCCCCGCTTCCTGTATTCCGACTTGATGAAGCCCATCAGCGTGTTGTAGATGTGCGCTCCACGTGGCTGGAAGAAGCAGGAGCCAGGCGACAGCTCGTGGAAAAAGAACAGTTCCTGCTCACGTCCAATTTTGCGATGGTCTCGCTTGGCGGCTTCCTCCTGAAGCTTCTCCCATTCCTTGAGCTGCTTGGGATCGGGGAACGAGATGCCATAGACCCTCTGCAATGTCTCGGCATCGGCCTTGCCCTCCCAATAGGTCGACGAGTTCTTAGTAATCTTCAGGGCCTTGACCTTGCCTGTGTGGCGGACGTGGGGACCGCGGCAGAGATCGATGAGAGAGCCGCACTTGTACACAGTGGTGCGATCCGTGGTCACCTTCTCGTTCAGAATACGCAACTTAAACTCGTTGTACTTGAACATTTCCAACAGATCGGCTTTCTTCATCTCCAGACGCTCAAAGTTCTGCTTCTCTTTTACGATTTGCTTGACCAGGGACTCCATGGTGCCATAGTCGTTGGTAGAGATCTACAAGAGAAGACCTCCATTAATTAAAGGCTTTTTGATAAGAAGAGAAACCTGAAGTACTTACGCCTTCCCCCTCCAGATGCATGTCGTAGTAGAAGCCACTCTCAATGGGCGGACCATAGCAAAGATGTCCACCGTAGATGCGCTCCATGGCCTCACCCATTATATGAGCGGAGCTATGCCAGAAGACGGCCTGCGCTTCGGGATCGTCGAACTTTAGCAACTGCAAGGAGCAGTTTTCTTCGAGCACTCGATCCAAGTCCCAGACCTGTCCGTTCACCTTGGATATAATTGTGTTGTCGGCCAGACCTTGGCTGATGCCACGGGCCACATCGTAGGGCGTGGTCTCCCACGAGATGGCATCTACTTGCTTGCCATCGGGCAAGGTGACTTTGATGGTCTCGCGAGGCTTGACAGCCAATTCGGCGAGGTACTCAGCCTTGCATTTCTCCCAAAGGATATTACGTTCCTCAATGTATTTGGGCAAGGGGCTAAGTTCTAAATCGAAAGGAGGTCTATTCAGTGAATGTTTTTTACTAAGGAAACTCGCGACTCCTTACCCTTGCGACTGTCTCCGGCAGCACCGGCCGGCTTCTCCTTTTTCTCCTTCTTCATTTTGCCAGCCTGCAAATCGAGGGAAAAATCAATAAGTCTACGAAATCACAGCTTATTTTTTTATTTGGTAATATTTTGACTACGTATGCAGTCGAAAAGCAATTAGTGGAATGATTTTTCGGTGTCTGTTATCGTGCTGGCGAGCGCTGGCACTGTTTATTTGAACAATTGTAAGCGAGGCAATGACGATGACAAATTTCTTTCGGCTCTTCTTGTACTGCCTGAGGGACCACCTATCTATCTTTGAGCGTTTCTCCGGAATTTTAAAACTGATGCAATAGGGGAGGTACATTCAGTCATACAATGTAAGAGGGTCGAATCGAGTAAGTGACGTCACAGCAGCCGGCTGGCAGTGATTCAACTCGAGCCCCCTCATAAATGGCACACATTTGTAGTACAGGCAAAGGGAAGAACACTAACACTTATGAACAGTAAGGACAATGCTATGTATGGCCTAAGGACACCAACCAAAGTTGCGTAGCAGCGATAGCTTCTTAACAGGCCTTTATCTGGTTGATTTTCCTGCTGTTGTAGTAGATGCTGTGTCTGATATTTGGACGCTGTGGCTGGCACCGATCGCAGGCAAACAGCGCTGCTTATTGCTTTACAAGACCTGACGCCAACGCCAAGCGGCACAAGTTTCAACATAACTCTGTAATCTGTCACTTCTCATACACTGCAATGCAATTCGTTTAGAGTTTAACATGCCTTTTGCTTGTTTAAATCCAAATGACTTAATTCCGGCACCACGTTGTCACCCATTTTTCGAAAAAAAATTTAAAGAAAGAGAGGAGGGAGAGATAGAGCGAGAACATGTGACCAGATTGGAAAAATACCTAAATACCGGAATGTCAGCTGCTAAAGCTTTGGCGCCAAATCGATTTCGAAATGGGACCCAATGCGTGGATGTGTGTAACGTCCAGAAGGAATCGTTTCCGACCCCATAAAGTATATATATTCTTGATCAGCATCAATAGTCGATTGAGCCATGTCTGTCTGTCCGTCTGTCCGTCCCTATTAGCGCCTAGTGCTCAAAGACTATAAGAGCTAGAGCAACGATGTTTTGGATCCAGACTTCTGTGATATGTCACTGCTACAAGAATATTTCAAAACTTTGCCCCACCCACTTCCGCCCCCACAAAGGGCGAAAATCTGTGGCATCCACAAATCTCAGAGACTATTAAGGCTAGAGTAACCAAATTTGGTATCCGCACTCCTGTTAGATTCACTATAAAACGTATATGTATCTCAAAATTTCGCCCCACCCCCTTCCGCCCCCGAAAAGGACGAAAATCTGTTGCATCCACAATATTGCAGATTCGAGAAAACTAAAAACGCAGAATCATAGATAACGACCATATCTATTAGATTACTGAATCTGGATCAGATCAGACAATTTTTATAGCCAAAAGGAACAAATCAATTTGCACTGGCTGCGCAGTGCCCGACGACACGCTCAGACTGATTTTCTGTCTCTCTCGCACGCACTCTTTGTCGTGTCGTTTAATATTAGCGGCGTCTGCCGGAGGAGAGCCATACTGACTTAGTATCGGGTATAACCGTAGAGTTGCGGTGTCCGCAGCAACTCACAACGTTCCCCTCGTTGTTATTGATTTTCTTATTGCGCTGACATAATTTCTTCGCCATCGAGTGCAGCCGTGTTTACTTTGTGTGCTTCGTGGCTGCTTGGCATATAAAAAGTGAAAGCTGTTGGAAAAGTATTGCTCGCCGCGAAGTTAAAAAAGCCAACAAAATTGCACACTTATTGGAAAATCCCCTTCATCACCAACCACCGCTCTCTGGTGGCGCTGAACGTCTTGGGGTAGATTTCGATTTCTACAACGTGGCTTCCAGCAAGATTCACCCCAGCCCGGGGGCGGCGCGGAGTGTGTGGGCGCTTCCCCTGACGGCATCCTCATCATGCAATATGGTGGTGGCGGAGGAGCATGCCCATGCCGAGGACATAGATATCGACCATCGCCCGCACTCGCCGCCACTCACGGGCCGAGGAGCTGGCGGGAACCATGGAGCCAGCAATGAGGATCACGACAGCGTCTTGCTGTTTGAGGGATTGGACGGGGCCACGACGGTCAACCTAGACGATATCTTTGACATCATCAAGAATGGAGAGGTCAGTGAGGTGGAGAATCTAGTGGAGAAGTTTGGCATGGAGTGCCTGTCGGCCAGGGACCGGCACGGCTACACTCCTGCCCACTGGATCGCCTTGAATGGAAATGTCCAACTGATGAGATATCTGATTGAGCGCACAGCTCCGATTGATCTGCCGTGCTTGGGAACCCAGGGGCCGCGACCCATCCACTGGGCCTGTAGGAAAGGCCATGCCTCGGTGGTCCAGGTGCTGCTCCAGGCAGGTGTCGCCGTCAATGCTGCTGACTTTAAGGGCCTGACGCCTCTCCACCTGGCGTGCATGTATGGACGTACCGCAACTGCTGCCTACCTCCTGGGCATGGGTGCACTCAACAATCTGACGGACATCAATGGCGACACGGCTCTTCACTGGGCGGCCTACAAAGGACACGCTGATCTGATGCGCCTGCTTATGTATTCCGGGGTTGAGCTGCAGAAGACGGATAACTTTGGATCTACGCCTCTGCATCTGGCGTGTCTTTCTGGGAATATGACGTGCGTGCGTCTGCTCTGCGAGAAGTCGCAGCTGGATTTGGAACCAAGGGATAAGAACGGCAAAACACCCATAATGCTGGCACAGGCACATCAGCACCAGGATGTGGTGCGCCTCCTCTACGGCGAGGTGAAGAAAAAGTCACGTTGGATTCCTTCCGTCTCGGAGAGCTGGGGCTGGCTCTTTGGCGGTGCCGGCGACTCCAAGGGACCCCTCTTTCTCTTCCTATTCTCCGTGCTTCTCTGGGGCTATCCCATGTACATGATACGAGCCATTCCGATCACCTGGAATATCCTGCGCCGCTCCCACTACTGCTTCATCTACTGGAACGCCGTCATGTGGATTAGCTGGGCCATTGCCAACCGTCGCGATCCCGGCTACATTCCACTTAGCTCCGATGCCTACTACCGGGCCATCAAGCAGATACCCTACTTCGATAAGCTAAAGAAGCGGAACGTGATGCTCACGAGGCTCTGCCACAGCTGCCGCTGCCTGCGTCCGCTCCGGGCCAAGCATTGCCGGGTGTGCAATCGCTGCGTCTCCTACTTTGATCACCACTGTCCATTCATCTACAATTGTGTGGGGCTCCGGAATCGGATGTGGTTCTTCCTGTTTGTCTTGTCGGTGGCGGTCAATTGTTCATTTACCATCTACTTTGCCTGCTATTGCGTGATGATCGAGGGATTCACCTTGCTCTATGTGCTGGGCCTCATCGAGGCGGTGGTCTTTTGCGGCTTGGGCTGGATTCTCACCTGCACTTCGGTAGGTTTCCACTATCGCAATCTATTCTTTTAATCCTTTTATCCCTTTTTCCTTTTGAACAGATTCTCCACGCTTGCATGAATCTCACAACAAACGAAATGTTCAACTACAAACGCTATCCATATCTGCGGGATAAGCGGGGTCGCTACCAGAATCCGTTTTCGCGCGGTCCAATACTCAATCTACTGGAGTTCTTCGTCTGCCTGCCGGATCGAGGAGATGACAACGATCTGCTGTTGGAGGATAACATTTGATTAAGAATATAGGATCGAGCCCCGGCTCGTCGGCGCAAGGTGCCAGTGCGCGGATAATGAAAAGAGACGGCAGCCCAAAACCCACTCGGGTAGGCTGCCTGTTTTGGTTTTGCTCCAAAAGCTTTGTGCTTAATTGAATGCTCCGCTCCGATGCGTGTTTTATCATCTACAATTGCAATCTCGGTAAGATACGATACCTTTGTAGAAGAGAGGAAAGATGGAGATGTTCCTGGTAGCCTATTCCGGGCCATGGCATCCATCTTTCTTGGTCTGCTTTGGTATCCAATGATATGATCGGCTTGCCGATCATCGCTTTTCTAACTCCTTAACTTTTAGCCTTTAATAAGAATACGCTTCTCTTGTTAATTTTTGTACAAAAATTGTTATACATACTCGTATATAAAATGTGTTATTTAATGAATCTCTATATTATATACTAAATATAATTAATAAATGGTGTAAGTGTTCACAAAATGCGAGTGCTAGCGAATGCAAGCCCTTCATTTTGTTCATTTCGATATTGCGGATTGAATTGCACAAATAATACTACGAAAAAAATATCAAATCAAATCTAATCGGAGAATATGTAATGGGTACACTTTGGCATGTATCTTGGGTGAGGTGATGGGAATCTAAATGGTACGAATGGTTATCGTTGATTGCTTCATGCACTTGCTATATTCTATTTTCCCTTAGCTTTCGAAGCAGAAATCATAGTTCTCGGGATCCTCCGGTATGGGTGGTGGATCCTTGCTGATATCAACACCCTCTGTATCGAGGAGACGCAGCTTAATCTCCATTGAGAGCAGTGTATCGAAATCTTCGTTCTTTTGCTTGCTGACCATCGGCTGGCCAAGCAGGGCATTGATACCGTCCGTCCAGTAATTGAATATGCTCTCGTCGGGGGCCACAAAATCCAGTGTCGAGTGATCCATGTTCTCAAACGTTATGGAGAACGCCAAGTTCACTGCTGACTTTCGTATGCGTGTCTCCTTCATGTGCGGGCACTCCTTGCCCTCCAACAGTTGCTTGATCTCGCTGATGGGCAGCTTTTTGGGCAGCTCCTCCAATGTCGGTATGTTCTTCTCATCGCAGTCTCCATAATGGATGACTTTGTGGTTGGGCGATAGACGGGCATACCAGAACTTGTCTTTGGTTCGTGTTCCACGCAAATACTTGGAGAAACGAGTACCTAACAACCATTGAGAACGATTAAGTATACTAAATTAAATCCCTTTGCATGAATGTCTTACCTTCTATCAAAAATGATAGACGCTGTTGCTTGATTAGCTCCAGAATGTGTGGCGATATCTTCTCCTTCAGTTTGACAATGGCCGAGGCTGTGGAATCGCACTCTTCCTTCGACGTGCGTTCCTGCTGACGCAGGGTTGTGATTTGCTGATAGGGGAGTAGAGCTATCTTATTGCGAAAGTCCTCCAGATTCTCTGGTCTGCATTTCAGAGTGCGCTGAATTTGCTCCCGCACCACACTGAAGGTGGTAGTGAAGTCTTCCGCTGTGGCTCGCATGTCCTTCCATGTTCGATTCAAAGTTATGACGCAAATACAAAAGAACTCCTCGAAGGGGGAGTCGTGGGTAAAAAACATGGGCTGAAAATCGCCGGATTGTTCGGCAGGCGGTTCACCAATTCGCAGAATGTCGCACAGAACCTTCACCAGTTCAATGGAGGTGCGTCCAAATGGACATTCGTGCTCGTCCGCGCGGCATGAGTTCTCTCGCACAATCTTTGCGTATTGCTGGGTGTAGTTGCGGGCAAAGTACACCATACAGTCGAGGGCCAGAATGCCTGAAATACAATATTCTGGACTATCGTTTTATTTGGCTTTGCATCACTTACCTGGGGGCGTTTCTATAAAGTCCTGAGCGGGGTTGATGTCGCACTTGAAGCCCAACTTTTTGTAGTACTGGGAAAAGTTTATATTCCCAGCCCCCGATCCGCCGCCTCGACGAATGTGGTCGTCATTTTGACTCAGGGCAGTGGTGTGGTCATCAAAGGCAATGCGACGCAGCTCCTTGATTTTATCATGGGCATCCTGATCTTGGGCATTCATCTTCATACGCATGCGCTTCTCCAAAAGGCCCAAAGTCAACGTTTGGAGCACATACAGTTGGTGGGTCATCTCCGTACCCAGCCCATTACCAATCAAGGCCAGGCGGAACTGCTTTGCGCTTATAGTGTTTGCAATCGTTCGCCTGCGAGCCTCATCTGCCTTGAACAGAGCATTTAGCAGTGCTATAGCATTCTGGCGCATCACTGGCGAGTTGACTTCCTGGAGAAGACGCAGAATATCCTGCAACTTGATGTCTTCCGCCACCAGCAAGTGTTTGCTGCTGCACTGAACGATATTTTCCAGATTAGAGAGGGCGCTCTCTCCACAGTTCGTTGGATATTTTTGGAAATTTCTCACAATCTCAATATTTCGTGCGACAAATGAGTTCTCGGGCACTTCCCAGGACACCGTGCCATGCTCCATAAGCTCGACAAAGCTGCTCAAGCTGTACTTGAGGATCTCTTCGTTATTTTGGCTGACATCTTCAATCATCATAATGAGTCTGTCAAGACCCTTCTCCTTAATAAATTCCAATGCAAATGTGTGATCGGTGCTCAGCGATGTGAGATCCTTAAGTCGCAGGACCTTCTCCTGAGGGCTACCATTGAGCAGCGTTTCCATGGCATCGCTGGCCGACTTTGACGGCGAGTACTGCAACTGCAGTACAGAGCCATTCTTGATCTCGTTTCGGTTCTTTTCCGTCACATATTTCTTGTTGTTTGACTCGCAAAACTGCAGCGCGTAATTCTGGTGGTCGCTGATGGACCAGCCGTTGCATATATCCTGGATTTTGCCTGCAAGCCAAGAGATATGCACATCATGAGACACACTCATAATAAAAACCTTACTTCCTGTTGCGGCCATTGCGGTGCATTTTAATGAAGGCTTGGGCCTGCGCTGACATCACGATAAGAGTCTGAACCAGAAAGGGCGTTGGTTTAAGGTTTTCGTTGTTTGTTGTTCAAGTCACACAAAACAGAGAATATTACTGCTTTATGGGACTATACCTATATGTAGCCCGTACGTATTGTTCTGATTCTAAAACTAGCAATTGCTTTTAAATATTCAGTTTTATTGACATACTTGCAAGCGGATGTCTCTGATCCAGGTTTATCAACTGCGCCATATGATTCTCCCTCTCTACGGCTATCTTCACTATGTGCGAGTCCTTCACCGTCGTTTTTTTCGGTATCATTTTGTCACTGTTTTTAGTAAAATGAATTTAGTTAATTATTATTATTTAGCAAGAGCAAGTGTGACCGCGGATGTATCACCGTCCGACCCTCAGAAATATACCCAAACATACCGTCTCATTTTAAAAATATACCGTAAATATACTGACGAACTCAAGTTCTATATTCAACCCGGTTCGTAGTTTGGCGGTATATTTAAAAAAACTAAGTTTATATGTATATATTATATGTGGTGTATATCAAGTACATATTTAAACTAACTTATCAGTACCAATTTTAATAGTATTTAAAGTGAATAACATGCTGAATTGCAGGAAACGGGGCATATCACCCTAACTAGTAATTTAAACCCATAATTTCAAAGTATGGAATGAGAATCATTGTTGTTAACCGGTTAAAGGAGATCCTTACCGATTCAAGTTCGGTTATACGAGTGGATACGAGTGGTGCGCGCCAAGTATAAATTTTTTGAAGGTGAATGAGCGAAAAGGATTTAAATGCAATCAATTAAAATTGTTTATTAATGTGACTTACATTTGTATAGAAGGAGGCTATTCCGACAAGTTCATCTATTGGATGCGGTCTATATGAAATATGAAATCCTCTCAGCTTTGGTCAGGTCGCCACGTGGCACCATATGAATGTAAGATAGCTTTTGATTATCTTTTTCGATATCGTCTAGTAAAAATCTTTTGATTATATGTATGTCCAGATATGTTCTGGATGGCATCCTCATTCAATTGGTTATCTTCCTCCTCTTTTTCAGCGGTTGTGGTAGGCATGCTTTCGGCGCCGTCCCACTTCGACGCCTCTTCGAAAACATTAGCTTCCTCATCCACATCCTTGTTTATTTTCAACTTCGGGGCGTAGAAGTTATTTTGGGAGTGTCTTTAAAATTTAGCCAAGTGATATCCTCCTCGATGACAAAACTATTTCAGTGCTTCTGGCTAAAAATAAGTACATAAATGGAGTAAACAGTGCGGGAAGATGAAACTAGGCCGGGTCTGGTGGAATAGATGCTTGCAGCTTGGCACCATCACAAACCATACAGTGTATGGGGCGTGGAAAATAAGTGGATGATCACGGGAGTCTGCTTTTAAGATTCTTAAGGGTACTTTAATCTGACTCTAGATGAATGAGCAACCAGTATAGTATGGCCTAAAGAGGTTTTGTTTTTTTTTTATCATATAATTCAAGTTTATTTTGTCTGAGAAATGTCTATTACACCAATAAAGTAAATTCTTCAGCGCATGACGCATTTTAGTTATAAACAAGTAGTGATGATTATTATCGAAATTCAATTTGTTGTATGCATTTTATTGCTTTTCATTGATTTGACTTAGGAATATGTATGTTTATCTGTGTAATATTTATATGTGTACTACATATATGTAAAATGTTGTTTTCAGTTATGAAAAAAGATTATAGTATTGAAATGCATCTTATAACAGTTTTCATTATTGAGTATGAGTATATCGTTACCATTTTTGTTCATCTTTTTCATCTTTAATAAGTAATTCGTTACAATTGGAGTGGAGTGGAAATTTATGGATATTTTGCTCCACAAAGAATAAAATACTGCGCTGCTGCAACATACACTGATTATCATACGTACACGTACACACTAGGCAATCAAACAATCAAAAATGGCTGCTACTCACTAATCAACAGATTTTCATCGCCTTAATGGCTATAATTATTTAATTTATTTTTTAAATATTTCTTAAATATTCTCAAGCACTTTGAATACAGTTTAATGAGGCTTAGAAATAAATTTGATTTTCATATTTAAATTGTGTGTTACGTTTTCAACGGAATCTCAATATTGCAAGGAAGATATTTGGCTGCGTTACGTCGTCTCGTCTCTATTAATAGAATAGCATATAACACTCTATAAACTTTATATAGTAAGGTGCTAATAGGCTGATAGGCTAATCGGATATATAATTGCTCTAAATCGAGTTAAAAATAATCAAATAAAAAAGCAAATTATAATTTTGTGTGTGTTTTTGGTGTTGTTTCGTTTTATTTTCGTTTCAGGATCTTAACTAAGATAAATTGTAATAAATTCTGCTAGGAAATTATAAAACTAATGTTCTTTAATGTACCTATAATATCGAGATTAAAGGTTGATTTTAGCTTATACAAATTCTAGAAATCATACAATCTTACGAGGCTATTAAATGAATTAACTATCAAATGATGATTTAAACAAGGTACGGTACGAGAGGCCCGAGCTGGGGGAAGAAGGTATGGCAAGGCCCGGAAGTCGGTCAATGAGTGGATATGTTGGATATTTTTCCTGCGAAAATGTTGGATAGCTTGTTGGCTTGTTGGTCCCTTCCTTCCCCTCCAGCTGAAACCTATTAAATTCACATAGAAACTATAGTTTATGTATAGACTAAAACAGTTTTTCCGACGTATCTAACACAAAAGAAATGTACATTGCATTTTGTTTATGAATTAATTTAATTGTAAATTGAATTTGGGCACCCCCGAATAACAACAAATTGAACAGCTTTTGGGAACGAATATATCCACGAAATTGGTTTCTTTGCACATGAATCCCTAGTAAATGATTTGCCCTGCCCCTGATCCCAACAACTGTTATACAGCGGTACTGTACTGTATAAGAGCTAGTTAACAGGGGAGCTTAGAGGTATGTATGAGTTATAAGATGATCTCGGTCGAGCTCCGCTGCAGTGCATCGCACTGGAAGGCATCTGTGGCCGGCACTGGCGAGTACTTGCGTTTTGAGGAGCCACCACCCGCCGAAATGGTGGTATAGGTGGTAGTGCTGCAGCCATTGCTGCCACAAATGCTGGTCACAGCATTCACCAGTCCAGATCCCGATCCCGCTCCAGATCCTGGTCCCGGTCCGGAATACTTGGCCTGGATCGTAATGATGCTGGGCGTCAGCGTGGCTGTGGAGCTGTCATTGCTGCCTGGGGCTCCAGCTAGTGGCTTTCCCTGGACAGTGGTGGTGCCATGGGCTGTGGCTTTGGGCGGCTTCCTTCGTACGGGCGTCTCCTGCAGCACGGCGGACTTCCGTATGGTCTGCTGCAGTAACGCATTCACATCGATGGCTGGCCAAGCGACCAGCGAGACACTTCGTCATAACTGGCTGTCCAGCGGCGAGGAGCTGCGTTTCTGATGACCTCGACTATGCTTTCTCGAGTGTTTGCACCCTGGCGGCGGTGGCGGTGTCTGGAGCTGTGGCTCTGGTGACTGCTGCTGCTCCTTCTTGTCGGTATCCTTTGATAGACTTTGGAGTGGACCCGCATTGGAGGAGAGCGAGAAGTATTCGGCCGACTGGCTGAGCGAGGAGGCATCCGCATCTGTCTGTGTACCGGGTGCGCCATCACTACGCATCGTGTGCTCTGCCAGATCTAGAAGGGAGGATCTCTGCGTGCTCAGCGGCGTGAGGGTACTGCTGTGTGGCTCCTCTCCATCCTGTGTGGGTGTGCTCATAATGGTGTGATCGGCAGCCGTGCAGAAGCTCTCCCTCTGGCCTGTGGTCTCATCATCGTCGTCGTCGTCATCGCCCGCATAGACCGCCTCCTCCTGGGAACAGGAGCCGCAGCAGCAGCTTGTAGTGTGGCAAGAGCAGAAGCTGCTTCGCCTGCTTACTCCTGCCTGCTGGTTGCACTGATGGCACTCCACGGCGACCGTCATCTCGTGGGCATTGATATCCTCATCAAGACTGCTGCAGGAACTCGACTGTCCGCGATCACAACTGCAGCTGGAGCAGCTGCTGCAGCAATCCTGGCCAGCTTCGGGCATGAAACGTTTCCTCTTGATCCGCACACACTCGTTGCGTGCGGGCGCCGATGCAGGAGTCGCTCGGGTGGTGCTGCTGGAGCTGGCCGTGTTTATCGGTGGCTGCAACTGTGCCTCATCTTCAGGCAGATGTTCTTGACCTATCCTTACATCATCATCATCATCATCATCGTCGCCGTCATCCTCGACATCATCTTCATCGTGGGAGAGCTCATCGGTATCAATGGTGGTATTGGAGTTCAGAGACCCTCGACGACGGTGGCGCGTCTGCTCTCGAAGGGGAGCCATTATAATGGGAATGACACCCTCGCTGGCTACCTTATAGGGGAAGTTGGAGGTGGCGGTGCTGCTGTTGTTCTCCTCCTCATCCTCGTCGCCTTCGGTCATGGTTGCGGCATCGATCTCAATGGCAATGGCCTGATGATGCATCACCTCATCGCTCGAGTCCAGGGAAGACTTGTTATTGACTGGAAGCTTGGATTGGTTCTCTAAGCGCGGACTCTGCTTGGCGGACTGTCGATGAATCGGATTATTCTGCTGCTGCTGCTGATGATGACGGTGTCGTTGCTGACGTAGCAGTGCTCGTCTCTTTGTCCCGCCGCCTCTAAAATCATTGTGATTGTGATTATGATTGTGATTGCAATGGCGATGGCCGTGATGATGATGATGATGGTGCGAATGATGTGGCTGACAATGATGACTACGATGGCTGTTGTGCTGATGCCGACGATGGCTGCTGCAGTGGCAGTGGTGATGATGCGTGGTGATAACACAACAGCAGCTGCCCTCCAGCTGCCCCTCCGGCGCTGTGCTGGTGGTGGCGGCGGCGTTGGCGGTCGTCTGTGTGGCATTGTGACGCTTCCTGGCCGCATGGCCGTGACGACAACAGCTACTGTGCAGACTCGGCTCGTGGCCGCCAATCACGCGGACATCCTTGCCGGCATTGGTCGTTGAATGAACGATTACCACCTCCAGGGCGGCGGCTATGCTGCTGTCGTCCTTGCTCTTGCCACTGCCGCCGGGTCGTGGCAGCAGCTTGTTGTTGTTGTGGTATTGGAAGGCACGATTATCGTGGCACTGGCCAAAGTCGAGCACCTTGAAATGCTCGTCATCGGCACGGGCGGTGAGTAGGTGATCGTCCCCGCTGCTACTATGGGTGACGGGCAGGGAGAGCTGATGCTCCTCGGAATGGGATATGTGCAGGTCGTGGTGCTGTGGTTGTTCTTCGGGGGCAAACTGCTAATCGCCGCGCC